CCCGGGCTCCCGGCGATCTTCCTCGCTGTCGACATGTAACGTGGAATAGGTGCCTGCTGTAAATTACAGCTTTCAGCTTTCAGCTTTCATCAAGCCCCATTTGGAGGAAAAGGGAGCGTCTGAACGCGTTCGCTTTTCCCCTCGTTCGCCGTCTGTGTCTAGTTGCTTTCCTTATGACAATTTGGCTTTGGAAACAGAAAATACCCTTTGTAAAAGCACGTTTCTCCCCGCTGCAGCTTCCAGCCTAAGTAGTAAATCCCGTCTGAGCAGCGTCGTAGCCTGTTCATAACTAATCTTGGTGGTGTAAGAGTTGTAGACACTAATCCCGGGTGCCAAACAAGAAGCCCATCATCCAGTTTGGGAGCAGAAACTATAACATAGCAGTGCTTCACAATCCAGTGGTGGTTAAATATTCTGTGAATTTTCACAGCGCTGGGCAGAGTGGGTGCTGAGGGCTCCTGCAGCAGTGAGAGGGATGATGTGGGGCTGGAACAGAACCAGTGTCAAAAAAATCAAATTATTTTGGAGGTGGTTTAACCCCGTATGACCGAGTTCCAGGATAAATCTGCTCTGCAGAGCCAACCTCTCAGTGCTGTAGATGCTGTGATTCACTCCTCCGTCGCTGCTCCCCGATAATTGCGAGGTAAGTGTGTGCATGTGAGCAATTAATGCGGAGCAGCTGTTACCCGGTGCCTGGTTGATGTGCCTTGCCTTAAATTAGAGCAATCCTTAATGCCAGAGGTTTTTGCATTTGTATTTAACTGTGGTTTACATTATGCAAACCAAGCCTCTTAGTGCTGCCTCCCTCCCTGTCTTCCGTCCGCCCCGCGCCGTGCCAGCTCAGGGTGTATCGCTGGCAAACCCTCACCTTCTCTATCAGGCAAACGATGGGTTAAATTTGAAATACTCGATTTTTGGATGCGGCAAAGCAGAGAAAGCAGCAGCCCAGCTATTCCTGGTAGGAGCTTGTCGTGCTGCTGGAGTTTCCTTTTATTTAAAATTAACTTGTTGAACAAATACTGCTGTAGCCAGAGGAAGCTAAAGCCCAACAAGCCACCAACCTCCCCCCTTTATCTGTGTTGTAATACACCAAGCCAACAGCGCTGGGCTCTACAGTATAATCCTCAGTAACGTGCTGTTTTGTACGCTGCTGTTGCAGAGGGAAAACAGCTTATTTTCGTGATGCTGGGCTACTTGGGGGGGTGGGGGTGGTGTCTGATGTGGGGAAACTTGTTTGGGAAAGCTGCGGTGCCACTTTGGTGGGAAAATGGAGAAGCCGTGAAGGAAACAAGACCCTCTTGTTCGTCATGGTTACTTGCCCTTCGGTGAGCAGTATTTGCCAGGTTTGCCCTGTGGCACTTGATAGTTACTGCAGAGCCCTCTGGTTCCTCATGAATATGGCATAACAGAATCACAGAATGCTATGGGGTTGGAAGGGACCTCTGGAGATCATCTAGTCCAACCCCCTGCCAGAGCAGGGCCACCCAGAGCAGGTCCCACAGGAACGTGTCCAGACCGGGTTTGAATTTCTTCAGAGAGGGAGACTCCACCCCCCCCCTGGGCAGCCTCTGCCAGGGCTCTGCCACCCTCACAGGAAAGAAGTTCCTCCTCATGTTTAGATGGAACTTCTTATGTTCAAATTTGTACCCATTATCGTCCTGTCCCTGGGCACCACTGAAACAAGACTGGCCCCATCCTCCTGACACCCATCCTTTAAGTATTTATAGGCATTGATCAGATCCCCCCTCAGTCTTCTCTTCTCCAGACTGAAAAGCCCCAGGTCCGTCAGAAAATCCTAACCATCTTTATAGCCCTCTGCTGTACCCTCTCCAGCAGTTGCCTCATCCTTCAGTGCAGGGGGAACCTTGCTGTTCTCGTCTTCAAAAAGAAAACTCGGGCAGAGACTGCTACCTCAGTTGTCTCTGAGCCTATTAAGTGATTAATAGGTATTCCCAGAAGTCTTAATGCAGCAGCAAAGGGGGCTGCTGGAGCAGAAGGCAGGACAAGACTTCAGGCTGATTTAAACCTTCTGTAATGCTGTTGCTTGAGGAGTTAAGGAAACGCTGTTTCTTTGTGCAGCCTTTGGGCAGATCTCTGCTCCGAGTGGCGAATCCTGATGTTGGAGAAGAGCTGCATGTTGCTGCCTGAAACTCATCTGTGACTCTGGAGCATGGCAGGGGGGAAGTGGTGTGTTTTATAGGTGTGAGAGGGCTGGAAGGGGACTACCTGGAGAAACCTACACGTGCTCTCGGCCTGTTTAGCAGGAGGTATCCCAGTTTGAGGCAAGACTTGTCCTAGACTGTGGAAATTAAAAAAAAAAAACACCCAAGTTGTACTGACTAGAGGAACTGGTATCATAACCAAGATAATCTAGAGATAAAATCAGTTTATTTCCTAAGGTATATTTTCATCTTTGCTGAATTTTCTCTAGGAAGCATGCGTGCTTAAGTGAGCTATTAAGAGCTCCTGTAGGTGGTAGCCTGAAAAGATCAAAAACTAAAGCCCTGGAAGAGGTTGCAGTCCTTCTCCCTCGACCCGGAGTGGCCTTTGGTGAAGGAGACCCTTCCATTCCCGTAGAGCTCCTTGGTGGCAGAATGACTCCAAACAGTTCAATGGCTTGCTCCCCTCTGTCTGCAGTGCTGGTGCAGGCTCTGGAGCACAGAGTGATGCTGTCAGAAAGTTTTTTTTTCTTAAGTTTTTTTATTTTCACGGAGTGCCGTGCTGGTTTGACGTGGTTTCTGTGTGCAGCTTGGCAGTGTTGGCCTGGCAGAGCACTTACTGGCCCCACTGCCGAGGTATAAAGGTGAGGGTCATGGAATCATAGGATTGTCAAGGTTGGAAGGGACCTTTCAGATCATCGAGTCCAACCATCAACCCAACGCTGACAAGCCCACCACTAACCCATGTCCCTCAGCACCACATCTGCCCGGCTTTTAAATACCTCCAGAGATGGCAACTCCACCACTGCCCTGGGCAGCCTCTGCCAATGTTTGACAACCCTTTTGGTATAGAAATTTTTCCTAATATCCATCCTAAACCTCTCCTGGTGCAACTTGAGGCTGTTTCCTCTTGTCCTGTCAGTTGTCACAGTGGCAGGGACACCTCCCACCAGACCAGGTTGCTCAAAGCCCTGTCCAACCTGGCCTTGAACCCCTCCAGGGATGGGGCAGCCCCCATAACTCCACCAGAGCAGGGAGCTACTCTGGCTTGTCCTGGAGCTGCAGCATCACAGCTTTTGACGTAAGGAAGTGGGTAAATGTGCCTGAAAATGGAATTGCATGTGGTTGTCAGCCACACACCTCCTTGTGTTGTTACAGTTAGGAGCTTGGATCCACGTCCATTGCCTAGGAGACTTGTTCAAAGAGGGGCTGTTGCTGTGTTTTCACAACACCCAGTGTTTGGCAGTGCTGGTTTCTGGATTTTCTGCCCCATACTGTGTCACAGATTTGCCATCCCAGCTGTTTATGGGGCTCCACATGGACTGGGTTAGGGATCTGGTCTAACCTTTCTAAAGCTGCTTTTGTCCACATGAGCTTTTCAAGCTGGAAAATATTCTTAATTTGGCCTTAAACAAGCTGTGCTGGCATTAAGAATAAGAAGAGTAAGAAGACACTGCAGAGGGAGGGGAATGTCACATTTTATAGTGACAAAACTGGTTCTTTGTGCTTGCATTTTGACCCTGGGGCTTTATTTCAGTGAAGGTTTTGTTGGTGTCACTGCTGAAGGATGTTGTCCCCTCCTGCCCTCCCCTTGTGTTAATGCAGCTGCTTGTGTGGTCAGGGGAAAAGGTTTTGTTGGTGTCACTGCTGAAGGATGCTGTCCCCTCCTGCCCTCTCCCTTGTGCTAATGCAGCTGCTTGTGTGGTCAGGGGACAAAACGGATTGGGGAACTGATTCAGTGAAAAAGCAATTTAAAGGAAAAGAGGGGGAAAAGATCCATTTCTGAGTAATTTTCAGTGTAAGATGGGTGTACCAGCATGGGTGGGTGAGCGCAGGAGATGGAGCGTGATAAGGATGGGGTAGGATCACTGCTTTGGGTGGCAGCGTTGGCTTTTGGCAGCTTCCAAGTTGTAGCTGTAGCCCGCGGGCTCAAAAAAATCACATTGCTAGTTTATGTCCTACTTTTCAACAGCTTCAGAGCTGCCATTGAAAATCTGCCCTGAGGCAAACTTCCATTTTGGTGTCAAATGGCAAAGTACACGTAGCTGTTCTCAGGGGTGTTGCACGGAAATGGTCCTCAAACTGAGCTGAGATAATTTGGATTTAGGCACCTGAAAAACAATCTGGGGTGATAGCAAGACCCCCGTGGTTCTTGTGACCAAACCCATGGCTGATGATATGGATTAAGCTGGAAGAAAACTTGTGTACAAGTGAAACCCAGCTTTTATTTCCAGTCCTATTTCTGAGTTTTCTAGGCGGTATTTCTTTCCTTAGTTGTATAATTGTGTTGTATTTTCTGAATCTTGAGGTGGTTTGAGAACATCCGGAGACTTCAAAGGACGTTGGCATCTTACACAGGCAGCTGTTTACTTTCTGGGAGAGTTTTCAGTGTTTTGGTGATTGGGACTGGGACAAACTGGAAATGTTCTGGAAATAGCGTGGAGCTTGTGGCAAAAAATGGATAGGATGGGTGGCAATTAGCCCTTCCTGCACTTAACGAACATCCTGGGGTAACAATGTGTGAGTGTATTGGCCATGGAGATGTTTGCACATGGGTGTGTGTGGTGGTAGCAGTAACTAAATTGTTCCTTAAGTCTTCAACCGTATTCTCATTTTATATTCTCATTTGGCTTTATAGAGCCTTTTTAAATCTCTCTGTCAAATCAAACTATTTCCCAGCCTGTGTTAGCTAATGTCATCTGTGCAGACAATACACCTTATCAGACACATGGATTTCCCCATTTGCTTATTCCAAACTCCAAACGTGGCATTCCCACGCCAGAATACCCACTGGGTCCAGCAGTTACTCCATTATTGATGATTTTTCTTTTCTTTCTCCAGAATCCAGCGACTATCACTCGGATACTGCTCAGCCATTTCAACTGGGATAAGGAGAAGCTGATGGAGAGGTAAGCAGCCACATTTTGCTTCAGACCTGCAAGAAATGCTTATTCCTGGATTAATATGAGAATGGATGAACACACAGTATGTGGCAGGAGGATCTCTAAATGCTCCCCTTTAGAGTTTACCAGCTAAGAGTGTCCCCTGTCTAAATTTATTAATAATAGCCTGTTAGACTTCAGAGAAGTTTGGAAGTGAGTTGTCCCTTGAAGGAAGGGGTGCCTTCCAGTTTGAACACATACAGGCACGGGATTTTCACAGGCTCTGGAAAAAGCAAGCAGGAACAGGTTCCTGTTATCTTCCAACTGATTTGGATGTAGTTGCTTTTGCGTGTCACTGTGGTATGTGTGCTCCTGACGTGTTTATTTGTTAGTCTTGCTGAGACTAAATTGTTCTTGACTGATAAAGGTCCTGGTACAGTGCATCTGCCTGCCTTGTCTGCTAGGGGTTTTTTTTTTTTTTAGCATGTGTGTAAATAATGAATTGAATTTTGCCTCTCCCTCATCCTCAGAGCAGAGCATTTTATGGTTACGTCTCATCTTTGATTCCCAGCTCTAGGGGAATGTTGCTGGTGAAGGTACTTATTAGAGTTTGTTGTTGTACAGTGGGAACCTGCCGTGGTGTAACCCCAGCCAGCAACTTGACCCACGCTCCCCCAGCCCCAGTGGGAGAGGGAGATGAGAGAGGAAAAAAGAAAAAAACCCTGAGACAAAGAGAGTTTAATAGAACAGTAATGGAAGAAAAAATAGTAATGATAATAATGGTAAAAGAATATACAAAATGAGTGGTGACATCTGTGGTATGGAATATTCTTCTGGCCAGGTTGTCACTGCCTGTGCTCCCTCTCAACTTCCATGGGAAGCAGAAAAAGCCTTTGATTTAATATAAGCATTACTTAGCAACAACTAAAACAATATGTATTATCAACATTACTCTCATACGAAATCCCAAACGCAGCAGCTGCTAGGAAAAAAATTAACTGTGTCCCAGCTGAAACCAGGACAAGGTCAAATCCAGCTCCAGTGGCTAATGCTCTTGCCATGTTTTTCAGTTTTTGGGTTTTTTTTTAGTGCCAGTGTTGCTGTTGAAGAGTGTGAGGGAGCTGGGGAACTCAGTTTGCTCGTAGAAGCTTGAAAAAGGGGGGAGAATCATTCAGGACCAGGCAGTACAGGGACTTACTGGTTGTTACGGACTTTGCTGGTCTTAACAGCTATTTGGGAGGCACCAGGGGGTGGGTTGGGGGTGAGGGCAGGAGGACTCTGTGTCCGGTGGGATTGTTTGGACTTCTCTCTTCCCTTTGGTCAGGGGGTGAGGAGATTGGATGCTTTGTAGCCCTAAAACCCTGTGCCTGTGGGGCTGAGCTGCTGTAGTTGGGTGCTTTTTCACACCAGGTACCAGCAGGGAAGAGCAACAGGTTCTCAGTCTGCTCGTAGATGGTTATGGCATTTAAATATTGCCCCTCTCTGGGGATAAGGGATTTAGGGCACCTTTAGCCCCCTCTGTGTAACACTTTCGGTTAGTGATGGCGCTCAGGTATCTCTTATGTTTTGTTTGGCCTAGATTTTTCTTTTTTCTGCAGTGATTATATATTTTTAAAGCTTTCTAGTCTTTGCTTTCTTTCCTGAGACTGACCTCTTTTAGTTAATGGTGGGAGTATGAAAGCTTTGTGTTACAAATATAGTCACATGGAGGCTATTTAACTCTGACTACAACTGCTAAAGCCTTCTGATTTTGTTCCCTCTCTAACCTGTCTCCCTTCACTTCTTTGTGTTTGAGTTCCTTGTGCTGGTTCTTTTGGTCAGGCTGGAGTTGACTCTTCTTGGCTAACTCCATCTCACTTTGAGATACCTCTACATGAGTGTACTGAAATGTCATCTGTTGTTCAGTAGGTTTTTTAGCTTGATTAAGGCTGCCATCAATTAAAAAAAAAAATTAAAAATAAAATTGGGCTGTGGATTTTTTTCAAAGGAAGGTGTCAGCTACTTCTATGTGAGGTATTATTGTTAAGGCTTTTACAGTTTCCAACCAAAACATTTTAAGTATGTGTAAATATTTACAAAGTCCACAGGTAAACATTTACTCTTGGTATGTATTCATTAAAATACTTATCTTAATTCTATAGGATTGCCCCTGTGAGTAATGCAGTCCTTGCTTGTGCAGGCTGGTCACAGCTTTGGTGCTGATGTCCTGTTACATAGAAAAACATAAACCAATCCCTTTGAAATAGGGATGGAGCTGGAAATGATGCCATGAGCCAGCTACGGGTCACATCTTTTGGCTAAAACAGACATTGTTCTTGTTCAGACAAACGCGAGAAGCTGATTAAGCCCAAATTCAGGCTTGGTTGGTCTTCCAAACCAGGGATCACTTTTGAGACTTGTCTGCCTTTGTGTGTGGCCAGCAAATCTTACTGCAGAAGTGACCTGAGAAGCACTGGGAAGATTCGTGGTGGCGTAGAGAGGCATGGTCTGATCAGGGAAAAAAAATACATTTAAAAACTACTTTTTTTTTTAACAGAGGAAAACCCAAACACCAAGGAAAAGCACTCACACACACTGTTCTTTCATACCAGTTGAATCCATGTTCTGCAACAGTGTTAGAGACCTACATATATATTTTTTTTTTTTTCCTGGGGGACTTTAGATGGTGGAACTGGTATAAACGTGGCCTCTTTTACTCCCAGTAACCATTAGGAAGACTTCCCAGGAAATGGCCTGCAGTCTGGGTGGGTTTAATGCTTGCTAAGGTGTAATGTTTGGGTGCAATTTTCGGTGCTTGATTTCACACCCAGTCAGAGCTTGAACCCGGTTGCTTCATGGTGTGTATTTACAGAACCTGCCCAGGGTCTGGTTTACCTTAGTTCAGCGTGAGTCAGCACGACCTGCCAACCACCAAACCTGGCCTGTAGGAAAGCAGATAAACCAAGTGGCTTCTTTTTTTTGATAAGCAGTGAGGTCTGAGCTTGTGAGATGAAAATTTCCATGTTTTAAAACATGAAAACCTCTTCGTTGCTTTTTTTTTTTTTCCCCTTCATTGTTAGGTGTATTTTTAATAAGCAGGTTGTTATTGTCTGTGCCAGCTTTGTCATGGAATAATTGCATGGCGTAAGAGGGCAGATGTGTTGCAGGTATTTATTCCACTTAGAATGAAGTAATAGCCATGGTTGAAAAACTGCCCTGTCCCACTGGTGGAGAACTAATTCTTTGACTGTGTCCAAAAGCAAAATTGGTGTTTTGGGGTGGATTTATTTGTGGGATGGAAGGGGGTACTGGAGGAAGTACTTGAGTTCAGGCTTCTGGTATGCTGCGTGTGTTTTGGGGAATAAAGATGTTAAATACTATGTTTTCCTCTGTCTCACAAACTTGGTTAATAGAGACAGGAGACCAGCAGGTGTAGATTGACCAGGTAACCTCAGAAGTAAGTGAAGGGAGGGCTTTATTTAGCTTGTAACTTGATTAACGTCCAGTTTTCCTAGGGCTGATAGCGTCCATCCCTCCTGAGGGCATGAACATCCCCGTGATGAAGAGATTAAGATGCAGCTCTCCTGCTTCATGTGCCTTCCCCTGGTCATTTCCTCACACAAGAAGGACATGGAGCTGTTGGAGCGGGGCCAGAGGAGATGCTCTGAGGGCTGGAGCCCCTCTACTGGGAGGACAGGCTGAGAGAGTTGGGGGGTTCAGCCTGGAGAAGAGAAGGCTCCGGGGAGACCTTGGAGTCCCTTCCGGTCCCTCAAGGGGCTCCAGGAGAGATGGGGAGGGACTCTGGATCAGGGAGGGGAGCCATAGGACAAGGGGCAATGGTTTTGAACTGAAAGAAGGGAGATTTAGAATAGATACTAGGAAGAACTTCTTTGGTGTGAGGGTGGTGAGAGCCTGGCCCAGGTTGCCCAGAGAAGCTGTGGCTGCCCCATCCCTGGAGGGGTTCAAGGCCAGGTTGGAGGAGGCTTGGAGCAACCTGGTCTGGTGGGAGGTGTCCCTGCCCAGGGTCTTTAAGGTCCCTTCCAACCCAAACCGTTCTATGATTATTTTTTTTTAAGAAGAAAACTCAGCATGTAACATATTGCTGTCTGTTGTAGGTGCTTATCTTGGTGGCCTCATGGCTGTGTTGCCTCTGAGCAGAGGACGGATGCCAGGGTGGCCCCAGTGGTTTGGCTGCTAGCCCAGATTGCCTCTTCCCCTTGCATTCAGGGTCTGGTTCCTCTCTGTGGGTACCTGGCTGTCTGCTTTCCTTTGGACAAATAAGTGTTTAACACTGTTCAGCAGAGGCTGAACGGGTGAAAAATTGTGTATGGCAGGCTTTTGGGGATGAAGATATCTTCTACTGCGAGAATACTGATCCTCTGACACCCACAAATGCCCTTTCACTAAAGTAAATATCCTGAAGTGTTTACTAGAAGCTTTTTCTTCTGCAAAAAGGCTTTTTATCTTTGATACTTCCTTGGCACAGGATTTGATTATGTCTAGAAAATTGTGATTAGGCAGTTACCAACAGCAGGAGGAAATTTTGAGGTAATAAAGAAGCTGACAGCTTGATCCCTCTGCCAGAAAACACCTGATACTGTTACGGACTTGGCGTTGGTAAGCAGTGAAGAAATTATGGAAGAACTTGAAAATAATTCACTGGTGTGTCTGTTCATTTAAGGTAGCAGAGAAAACAACTTTGTGATGAAGAGAATGAATTTGAAAAACTAATAGAACCAGCTGTTGGTGAACTGCATTGAGCAAAGAGTCCAGTGCTGAATAGACCATAATGTTTCTGGAGTGTCAGAAGTGCTGAGCTACTGAATATCTGCATTGCAAAGGGAGAAGAGGATGAAGGGTTTAAAAGGCTGATAAAGGTGCTGTGCTCCTCCCGAAGATGAGAGTAAGGACCAAGCAACCAAGAGGCCACCCTTCAGCAGTGTGAAGTGGAGGGATGGCTTGAGGAAAAATCAAAACCCCTGGAGTTGTGAAGGGAGCAAGGAGGGAATGAAAGGGTTTTTCTCCCACATTTCACAGCAGAGATGGTGGCGTGCAGCTCTGTGATCTAAAATGTGTAGCATACGTTGGGTTCAGCTGTTAGTGGTGTGTGTGGAGATCCTTTGCCCAAAAATGAAGCACCAGACTAGATGGAACCTGTTAACGATTCCCTTGTTGGGTACTTTTGGTGTGAATGTTGGCATAAATCTGTTTGGAGACATTTGGTTCAGAGGAGGATCCAGATGTCATACAGGGGGGAAAACCCAGACAGCTGGGAGGATCCTAGCAATGAACGTGGTACAAAGTGTCACAAGAGGTCCCATCAACAGAGAGCTGGAAAAGGAGCTCTGGAGAGAGGTAGACATCATTTGGGATGCATTGGATCCACAGAAGAAATGTAGGTGAGAGTGTATGAAATCATAGTGAGATCTTAACCAGGATTGCATTTGTTTTGGCCTCTGTGGGTTCAAGAAGGATGGGTAGAAATGGAAACCAGTGATTGAGAAGGTTTGATGGGACAAGGAAGTGGAGAAGTATCATGTGAGAAGCTTCTCTGCTGTGTTGGGAAATGTGCTGTGGCTGCTGCCGTTGAATCCTGAACAAGGATTCAAATTTGAACAAGGGAAGGAGATCTGCAGCTGTGCTGGTGCTTGAACAAGTGGAAAAAAGGTGTGGTAACAGGAATTGGAGTCATTCGTAACCAGTGAAGGAACTGGAACAGCCTTTTGACTGGGCCCTTGGTGTGTTTGCCCAAGGAGCGGTGGAGCGGTTAGAGAGGTGTTGGACTTTATTCTGCGGTTGGTGTTTTCAGGGAGATCCAGGTTTTCTTCTGCGTTTTCTAGGCTTCTTATTTTCTTACTGCCCAGTGACAGCATGATTTTGAGTCTGAGACACATGGAAATTATGGAAATGACTGGCTCAGCCCAGGTGGGCACAGCAAAGAAAGCAAGTGCGTTAAAATAATGCAGCGTGGGGAAGGAGGAATGCTCTGTACCCTGTGTCTCCTCAACACTGGTGAGGTTTCCAAGTGGCAATCCCAAAGAGTAGAGTGAACACTGTAAGAATTAAGAGTGTGGTTGTTAAAAAGGCAAAATGTAGCCTTTTTTCTTGGATTTATCCTTTCTCCCTCCTCTGCGTGGCCCTGGCTGAGCCTCTTAGCTGCCTTGTTTGATTTTCCTGTGTAAGTGTTGGAGAGACCAGGCACTTCTGAGGTGGAAACCAGTTAAAATGAGCTGTGACTGGTGTACCAAAAGGTTAGCACCTGCGTGCTTTGCAGTGTATTGGTGCTTTGGAAACATTTCAATTGGTTAAGGACTCCATTCTATGCTTTTTACTTAAGTTACTCTTATCATTAGCCTTTTAGTCCCAGGAAACACACGATGTCAAATCACTCACTTTCAATCTGTTGTTGGGAAACCACTGAGAGCCTGGGAAAGAAATGGTTGTTCTGAATTAGTTACCTGCTGGTCTTCAGAGAGGATGGGTCATTCCAGGTGAAAAGCAGTTGCTGGTGACTTTCTGTCCATGTTTCTTGGTGTAGGGAAGGAGGTGTCGTCGCTCGGAGTAGCTTTTGCAGGAATTTGGTTAAAACAGAACTGTCTGGTGCCAAGTGGCGAAGTCAAGTTCCTGATGTGGATACGCACCCTTAAAACCAGCCCACCATTACAAATATCTCAGGTATTCCCATTGGCATTTAGCTGACCACGAAATGCCAGCATTCGAGTTGCATCATGGCATTTGTCTCCAAAACTGTTTTCTTTGCAAACGTCACACCCAACTGTTTATCTGCTCCTTTCAAACAGAGGAGGGTGTCCTACACTCATCGTGCTGTGTGTAAGAACAATTTGAAGGCTGGGAACCTTTTGTGGAGTTAATATTTATTCATGAGTCTTTAATACTGCCTATAACGGGACTGCACTAAAATATTCTAGATAGAAGTAATCCTGAAGGCAAATAAAAGAAGTCGGTTGAGTTAAATCCCTGAGCAAACAGTGGCAAAGCCTTGGGTGTACTGCAGTGCCAGAATGCACCACCACCTTTAAAACTCAGTTTCTTGAAAATTAAGATCTAAACTATGTGAACTGCATCAAGAAAGATAGGAACCGTATGAAATTAACCCTTTTTAACTCAACGTCAAGTCTTGTTGGTAGGTTGTGCTGTCAGCTGCTGTGGATTTGGGACTTTTTGAGACACTTCAGTAACTTTGAGGGACACTCAGTAACTTCTTTCCCCAGCAGAAAGTCTTGGTTCTTCTCTATCTGTTGTGAGCAGCCACTTCTTTTTTTTTTTTTTCGTCTGTTTTTTGATGAGCTTAAGTATGTGCCTTGTAAAGACTCTTTAACTTCAACCTTGCCTGTTTTTAGCTACAGGGACTGTTGCCTGGTTGTCTGCTGCGAGTAAATTTGCTGGTCTAAATGTGACTGCACGATGGTCAAATGTGTTTTGTTTTTCTTTTTCCCCTAGGAAAAAGTAGGTGCTACCTCATTTGAATTGAACCTGCTGGTGGTGGTGGGGTTGGCTGGTTTCCTGGCGTTGAATGGGGGATGTCCATGTGGGTTATTAGATTTGATTAGTTCTTTGCAGCTGATGCAGGCTGGAGAAAGATACTTGGTGTCTTGATACTGGGAGGAGGCTGACCTCCTGGTTCTTTCAAATCTTGTCCTCCTTACCAAGTTGAGCTTTTGGTAAGACTGTAAACCAAAATGGTATTTTTTTTCCTTAAGGGAATAGGAAATAAAGTGGTAATTTATCTCCCCCCAACCAATTTTGCATCCTCACTTCCACGAGCTATCTAATCTTCAGAAGCGTCGTAAACCTGGAATTGTATTTTCTTAGGAGGTTGTTAAAAGACCTCAGGTTAATTGGAGGCAAAATGTACTCAAATGGCCAGGATTTTGGCCCAAGAGATGGACTCTGCAGTAGCTCTATTGGGATGTGGGCAAGCTCTTCAGTGTGAAATTGAAGACTGGTCAAACTGGAGATGAGAGTCCTGATCTGCTGAATCACTGTGCATGACTGATTGCAGCTTCCTGCCTCCTTTATAATGCTTTAGTGATTAGAATATTAGGGAAAAATGGAAGGCTTCAGCAGAAAAGGGGATTGTACCTTGGGGCATGGGACCTATGCTTTAGGAAGGTGTCCTGATGTCTGGCCTGTGAAGTAGGATGTTCTTGCCTCAGTTTCCTGCCCTGGAGCTCTAATGCAAAGGAATCACTGGGGTTTACTTGGAATACTGGTGATTATTTGGAGTGCAGCTGAAGAATGGAAGGTACCTGATTTTTCAGGAGTGTGCAATTCAAGCCCAAATCTCTGGAATGACATAGCTGCCCAGTATTCACCTCTGTGCTCAGGGCCAGGTTGTGTCTTGTTGGTGAAGAGTTTGTTCTGCGTAGTGGGTGTGTGAGCTTTTTGAAGTATTAAACCCAACTTTGTACATTTCACTCCCAAACAGAATTTGAAAAATTACTTCCAGGGAAGGCAGTTAAATGTTCATTCTCTTGTGTGTCTGATGCAGGTACTTCGATGGCAACTTGGAGAAGCTTTTTGCAGAGTGTCACGTAATTAATCCAAGTAAAAAGTCTCGGACGCGCCAGATGAACACAAGATCATCAGCCCAGGATATGCCTTGTCAGATCTGTTACCTGAACTACTCAAACTCGGTGAGTACGGGGCAGCCAAGGCAGTGCCTGACCACTAAATGCCCCAACTTGGCTACCTGAAACTGAACATTTTGGGCAGAAGCCTGTAAGGATGTGTCCCAACAGCCTTTGAAATGAAACTGAGATTTGCCTTGTTTCATTGAATCTTCTCATCTGTCGTAGATGTGTAAAAAACAAAACAAAACAACCCCAAAAAACAAAGAAAACAAAAACTGCACTCAAGATCTTTTCTTAATGCAATAAACCTTATGTCCTGTGTGCTGCAGCTGATCCGCGGTGGGGGACCACAGAAGGCTGTAGTGCTTCATGCTTTCTCTTTAATTCTTACTGTGTGGTTTGACAAACTTTTGTTTGAAAAAAAAAAAAACAACGAAAACAGTTTTGCATTTCATGTGTAATCATGATCCTTTCTTGCAAAACCCTTTGAGGATGCTGGGGTCTGGGCCACAGTGTGGTAAAGTGCTCCAGAAAATATCAAACAGTAGATCAAGTGATTTTTTTTTTTATTTTACAAAGGTCGGATACCAGTTGAGACACACAAAAGAGAAAATATGTGGAAAGCATGATGGGCAAAGGGGTTTACTTAAATAGAAAGAGAGGAAGCAGCTTGTACAGGTAGTGAATGATGATCAGGGGAGGTTCAGATTGGATGGTAGGAAGTTTTTACAAAGAAAGGTATTAAGGCTTGGAATGGGCTGCTCAGGGAAGGGGTTGAGGCACCATCCCTGGAGGTATTTAGAAGTTGGGCAGACACAGACATGGTTTAGTGATGGGTTTTGTCAGAGTTACGTTGATGGTTGGACTGGATGATCTTCAAGATCCCTTCCAATCCAGACAATTCTATGATGCAAAACAGACAAGCTGGAATAAAAGTAAATAGAACTAGGAGTAAAATGAAGTTCAGAGAAGACAGCCCACGTGGATATCTTTGAATCTTTATCATGTTTGTCCAATACCACCTTAATTGGAGAAAATGAGGGTAGAAGTGCTTGCTGGGGCTCCAAATGAATCTTCTGGTTTGTGGTAAGATTGATGATGGTGGTGCTTTTTTTTCCATTTTGTAGCTATTCACAAATAACTAAACTTTCTGATACACTAATTGGAGGTCCAGGCTTCTGCTTTTCTAGGCGAGCAACTTGCTGTGACTTTCCAGGGGCAGGAGATAATGATGGGAGATGATGGAAGAAAAGGAGATTAGAGGAAAAGCTCAAACTTGAGAGTCCATGTGTGGCTTTGCCAAGAGGCAGGATGCTGACAGACGTGAGGAATTCTTCCTTTTACTGAAACTTACTGTTCCTGGGGGGGCTTTCCTGACCCTCCAAAACACCGGAACATCTGCCTGACCTTTAAAGAGCAGAGCAGCCCTTCCGTAGGTGCTTTTATGAGCTTGCTTTTCAGCAAGAATGGAAATAATTCTTGAGCTTTGGGGTTGATGAGCAGCCGTGGATAACGTGCCCTCGCTGCTGTGGGCTGACTGAGAGCCTTGTCCTCACCCTGGGGTGGGCAGAGTGGAGCAAAGCCTGGTTTCAGGCAGCTGAGATTCCCCACGTTAAAATCACTGTTGCTCTTGAGCCAGGAGCCACTTCATGCATCTCCTTTGAAGGCCTGTGTGCACTGCCTGCCTTTTTAGAGAATGGCTGCAAAGGAGGATGGGTGCTTGCTTTGTGTGAAGGAGTGCCTTGAAAGAGGAAAAACAAAGTTGAGAGATGCACTCTACCTTGTGCTAAAATCTGAGAGCAGAGCAGCCCTTCCGTAGGTGCTTTTCAGTAAGAATGGAAATAGTTCTTGAGCTTTGGGGTTGATGAGCAGCCGTGGATAACGTGCCCTCGCTGCTGTGGGCTGACTGAGAGCCTTGTCCTCACCCTGGGGTGGGCAGAGTGGAGCAAAGCCTGGTTTCAGGCAGCTGAGATTCCCCACGTTAAAATCACTGTTGCTCTTGAGCCAGGAGCCACTTCATGCATCTCCTTTGAAGCCCTGTGTGCACTGCCTGCCTTTTTAGAGAATGGCTGCAAAGGAGGATGGGTGCTTGCTTTGTGTGAAGGAGTGCCTTGAAAGAGGAAAAACAAAGTTGAGAGATGCACTCTACCTTGTGCTAAAATCTGATTATTTAATCGCTGCAGACTTTCCACTTAAGGTAGTAAGGAAATAATTTTGATTTTTTGGGGCTATGCAATGTTTTTAATGAAAATAGGAGAGGAGAAATCTTTAGCACCTTGAAATCCATCTCCAGAAAAGATCCTCTTGGAAGCTTCACATTTAGATGTTGTGTCCTTAATATATTACTCTCCCCATTATAAGGTAGTTGCCATGCTGGGTGGGAACAATATGCCCAGTGCTCACAACTGGGACCCCATTCCTCTGGCTGGGGGTACAGGTGCTGCCCAAGAAACAGCTCTCTGCCTCTGGGGAGAACAGCACAAAGCACACTAACACTTCGTGGGTTTGTGGCTTGAATAGCACAGTAAAAATAGTAGTGGCCCAGTTATTAGAAGAGAAATGTCTTTGCTGGTTGTTGGAAGTGAGCAGAGGTGTCGCTCCGTTGTTAGTTTTGATTTCAGCCAAGAGGCAACAGAGGGGAAACCTCTCTGGTTTTTTGCCATACGTAAAAGCTGGAGTGTATTTATCATTTATAATCATATTTATGATTCCTTCTTCAAAAGGCTGTAGTGCCTCTGTGTCTAAGGTGACCGTAAGCCATCTGGCTTGAAATCTGTTTTTTAAGCCATTTTCGTTGATGTGAATTATAAATTCTAGGATAAGTTCTGTTCAATACCTAACCTAAAATCCCAACTTTTAAATCCTCTTGCAATGGTCAGCTTTTTTTTTTTCTTTCCCTCAGAAAAAGCTGATTTTTTTTTTTTCTCAGCGCCCCTTTCAGCCTCCAGAAAGCTGGGAGTTCAGAGTAGCACCTGTGTAGAGAATTTGTGTTGTACAAATACTACTGAAATGCAAGAGTCTTAAATAATTCATCCTCTGGTGGGGTCATTGCAGGTGGTATTTGTTTGCCTTTTAAAGCACGTAGAAGGGAAATATGAAGTCTTTATAGCTCTTCGGCCATCTCCAAAGAAGTGTGACTTGAGGTTTTGGGAAGAACCTGCAAAATTAGATGTTGATGTTCTCAAGGCAGCCTGGCACCATCATGGTTTGAAAACTTAAATATTTTGGTCCCTATGAACCAGTGTCAAGTCCCAGTCATTATTTCAGGCAAAATCCTTCTTGGTGAAGATGGGAACTAAGAGGGTCATGGCTTTTCTTACCTTCTCTCACCCTTTGGGACCCGTTTGAGAGCAGGATTGCCAGGATGAGGGTGTTTAGGGAACACTGTGCCCTTGTCCAAACGGTGTGCTTGTTCTAAGGACACCCAGCTGACAGTCTGTCAGTGCTGTCATCTGGGTGACCTTAGGGACACACACCTTGGGGCAGCTGATCCCTCCTTTGAGTTTGATGCTACCAGGAGAGCAGGGACAGGTATCGAATGGCGGGACGTTGCTGCTGGCACTTGGCCTCACTGGAAAAGTAGGTGATGAGCATGGCCAGGGTGAAAGTAGAGCTGTTCCCTCTGATAACCTGCTGCCTCAGAACTCGGTTACCCTTTACACTTGATGGTTTTTATGTTGGCCTTTTTGCTCGCTCCCTTGACATCTGCTGTCAGCTTAGCCAAAAATAATTGGGAACTCCCTCAAAGTAAAGAAATGAGTTGAAAGATGCTCTGAATTCTTTGCAGCCCAGGAGGAAGCAGGGTGGCTGCCTTTTATCTGGGCATTTAGCAAATCTTTTCACTGAAAGGAGTCCTAAATGAAGATACGTGCTTACCCGTGTTCCATAGTGCTCCCCGTGTGTGCTTGTGGCAGGAGTATTAAGGTTCATTAAGGGATGTGATGGGGAGATAAGCATGGACATGGGGAACATGTGGAAAAGCCATAATAATAGGAAAAATCAGTGCTGCCTTTGGCTTCCTAAAAGTTACAGATGTTGGGGCTTTTCTACCACAACGTTCATTTCTAGGGAGTGTGAATGGCCACAGCACCGTCTGTGGAGCATCAGGCACCTTGTTACCAGGGTCAGTAATGGTTCAGAAACTGGAACAGTTTGGGCAATGTGGTGGCCTTTTGAGTCTCTAATTTTGGTAGAACTTTGTTTTCTTAAAAGGGACTCTTCTCCTTTTCTTAATTAACAGCATCCTGCTGCTGTTTGGGGCTGTTCCACAGAGGAGAACCAGGTTTCTTCCAGAGTTTCATGCGAGTTGATGGTATCTCAGGGTGGAGCTCTTGTTTTAGCTTCCTGGCTGAGAAAATAAGATGGTTTGAAAAGCCAAGCCATCAAACAGTAACCTGCATAGTGGTATGAGTGAAGGGTTTTAAATACAGTTTGTCCTTGCTCCTGGCTCTGGGAGTAGAATAACTTCAGGATGACCTGAGAAAAGTAACTTAATTTCAGTCTTTCCTCAGCAGTGTTTGCTACTCCACCCCTTGTGTAACCATTCAGTCCCAGATGGTATCTTGAAACACCCGGTGTAGATGATGCAGAGGCAGATGAAGCTGTCCTCCTTGCTGTCTGCAGCAGCTACTCATTACTGAATTGTATGGAGTAATTTACACCTGCCAATTAAGGATCTTTAGCGTCTTCATCTGATGAACATCCAGGTTTCAGAGGGAACTGAAGCGAGTTGGTGAACTTTGTGCATGCGCAATGCGGGGAGCAGGCCAAGAGGAAAAATAGGAGGGAAGAAGACTCTGTATCGTGTTCTGCCTGTGGCCTGTTTGGTGGCTTTGCCTTTGTTTTCCTCGTTTAAAAGAATAAAACCGGGGAGAGCCGCGCTCCTTTTTTTTTTTCTTTCCCTCAGAAAAAGCTGATTTTTTTTTTTTCTCAGCGCCCCTTTCAGCCTCCAGAAAGCTGGGAGTTCAGAGTAGCACCTGTGTAGAGAATTTGTGTTGTACAAATACTACTGAAATGCAAGAGTCTTAAATAATTCATCCTCTGGTGGGGTCATTGCAGGTGGTATTTGTTTGCCTTTTAAAGCACGTAGAAGGGAAATATGAAGTCTTTATAGCTCTTCGGCCATCTCCAAAGAAGTGTGACTTGAGGTTTTGGGAAGAACCTGCAAAATTAGATGTTGATGTTCTCAAGGCAGCCTGGCACCATCATGGTTTGAAAACTTAAATATTTTGGTCCCTATGAACCAGTGTCAAGTCCCAGTCATTATTTCAGGCAAAATCCTTCTTGGTGAAGATGGGAACTAAGAGGGTCATGGCTTTTCTTACCTTCTCTCACCCTTTGGGACCCGTTTGAGAGCAGGATTGCCAGGATGAGGGTGTTTAGGGAACACTGTGCCCTTGTCCAAACGGTGTGCTTGTTCTAAGGACACCCAGCTGACAGTCTGTCAGTGCTGTCATCTGGGTGACCTTAGGGACACACACCTTGGGGCAGCTGATCCCTCCTTTGAGTTTGATGCTACCAGGAGAGCAGGGACAGGTATCGAATGGCGGGACGTTGCTGCTGGCACTTGGCCTCACTGGAAAAGTAGGTGATGAGCATGGCCAGGGTGAAAGTAGAGCTGTTCCCTCTGATAACCTGCTGCCTCAGAACTCGGTTACCCTTTACACTTGATGGTTTTTATGTTGGCCTTTTTGCTCGCTCCCTTGACATCTGCTGTCAGCTTAGCCAAAAATAATTGGGAACTCCCTCAAAGTAAAGAAATGAGTTGAAAGATGCTCTGAATTCTTTGCAGCCCAGGAGGAAGCAGGGTGGCTGCCTTTTATCTGGGCATTTAGCAAATCTTTTCACTGAAAGGAGTCCTAAATGAAGATACGTGCTTACCCGTGTTCCATAGTGCTCCCCGTGTGTGCTTGTGGCAGGAGTATTAAGGTTCATTAAGGGATGTGATGGGGAGATAAGCATGGACATGGGGAACATGTGGAAAAGCCATAATAATAGGAAAAATCAGTGCTGCCTTTGGCTTCCTAAAAGTTACAGATGTTGGGGCTTTTCTACCACAACGTTCATTTCTAGGGAGTGTGAATGGCCACAGCACCGTCTGTGGAGCATCAGGCACCTTGTTACCAGGGTCAGTAATGGTTCAGAAACTGGAACAGTTTGGGCAATGTGGTGGCCTTTTGAGTCTCTAATTTTGGTAGAACTTTGTTTTCTTAAAAGGGACTCTTCTCCTTTTCTTAATTAACAGCATCCTGCTGCTGTTTGGGGCTGTTCCACAGAGGAGAACCAGGTTTCTTCCAGAGTTTCATGCGAGTTGATGGTATCTCAGGGTGGAGCTCTTGTTTTATCTTCCTGGCTGAGAAAATAAGATGGTTTGAAAAGCCAAGCCATCAAACAGTAACCTGCATAGTGGTATGAGTGAAGGGTTTTAAATACAGTTTGTCCTTGCTCCTGGCTCTGGGAGTAGAATAACTTCAGGATGACCTGAGAAAAGTAACTTAATTTCAGTCTTTCCTCAGCAGTGTTTGCTACTCCACCCCTTGTGTAACCATTCAGTCCCAGATGGTATCTTGAAACACCCGGTGTAGATGATGCAGAGGCAGATGAAGCTGTCCTCCTTGCTGTCTGCAGCAGCTACTCATTACTGAATTGTATGGAGTAATTTACACCTGCCAATTAAGGATCTTTAGCGTCTTCATCTGATGAACATCCAGGTTTCAGAGGGAACTGAAGCGAGTTGGTGAACTTTGTGCATGCGCAATGCGGGGAGCAGGCCAAGAGGAAAAATAGGAGGGAAGAAGACTCTGTATCGTGTTCTGCCTGTGGCCTGTTTGGTGGCTTTGCCTTTGTTTTCCTCGTTTAAAAGAATAAAACCGGGGAGAGCCGCGCTCTGCTCTATGTATACTCCAAAAAGAAGGATGGGTTTAAGCGGGCAGGCAGGATGGAAATGTCAGCCACACCTTTCCTCACTGCTGGGGATTAAAGTCTGGCTTTGAAAGCGTGACTAAAGCTGTATTGGCAACGTTCTGTAGCTGTGATAATGCAAAATAAATAGTAGCGTCTCCAATTTGGTGCGGGGGATGAGAGAAACTCCGCAGAACCCAGACGGGTGAAACGATCGAGTGAATCCACGCGCTGAAATAATGGGATGTCTTGTGTTCTTTGTCGTTGCAGTACTTTACTGGCCTAGAGTGTGGACACAAGTTCTGTATGCAGTGCTGGAGTGAATATTTAACTACCAAAATAATGGAGGAAGGCATGGGACAGGTAAAATGTCAAGTCACCTCCCTCACGACTTACCTCTGGAAATCCGGTGTGTTGGAGAGGAGGGGGAAGGGCAGGGGAGAATTCTTTCCCATTAAAATTTAAAAAAAACCCCAAAGAACAACAAAAAAACCACAACCCAAGCCCCAAAGCTTTGGGGGCTGCAGCCTGTCACGGGTGAAGCTGAAGGAACCATGTGGAGTTACTGTGTCCTCGCTCTGGGTGGGAGGAATCGCGCTCTGCACGGAGGCGCATCTGGGACGTGATGATAGACACTATGTACTGGGTTTGCCGTGGATTGTAGTGCAGTCTGTTGCCTTGCAGTTTTTTGTAATGCAAAAATAGGATAAACCCTGTTCCTTTTTGTGTTGGTTTTTTTTTTTCAGACCATTTCATGCCCTGCTCATGGCTGTGATATCTTAGTTGATGACAATACAGTTATGTAAGTACAATGAGTTGCTACCTCTTGGCTTTCCTCTCTTTTTCCATTTTGTCACTCGTGTGCTATTCAAATGTTCTGGCTTATAAAAAAAAACTGCATAAAAGCTTTAAGGCAGCAGAGGGGTTGGTTTTGAACTGTTTATTTTGATACTGGTATGTCTCTTAACTTCTTGTTTAGGTCTGAAAAACCCGTGGCACAGTACTTGGAGGAAAAACTTGACCGATTTGGCCAGTGTGACAGCAGAATAAATACCAGGCAGTCTCTCCAAACCTTCCGGTGCATTTAGTTTCCTTTGATTTACAGAGGAATTTAGGACTTCCTCCCTAGGTCAACCCACCGGTTCACCAAGTCCTATAGCTGTAGTTAATACGTGAGTCAGAAGGCAGAAGTCCTCTGTAGGGTGTGTTTTATGCCCTCTGATAGAAAGCAGTTGACCCTCAAACACAAGATTTGATTAAGCTGGTGTGTCAGCCTGTGTCACTTTGCTTATTAAGTTCTCCAGCTGTAGGATGATGGCTCGTTACGTGGTGGAGCAGTGAATTCCAGGAGCTTCCTCCTCTTTTATATTGGATGATGTTATTGCATGAGTAACATCCTTCATAATTCTGAACCTTGATTAAGTTCATTTTAATTCTTCATGCTAAAAAGCGTCTAAATAGAAGCTTATTCTGTTACCTTATTCCTTCCTTCCTGAAGTCTGACTCACTCATTGATATTAATTTGCTGGTTTTTCTATCAGTTGCTTTCAGACTGGTGATTTCCCATAGCCCTCTGCATTAATTAGTCACGGAGTGTAGGCTGGGGAGAAGTGGAAGTAGCCAAAATGTTCTCGTGCGCTGTTGAGGGGTTCAGCGGGTGGAAACTGAGCTGAAGTTCACACAGTGTCTTGAGTGACTTGACTGAGATTTTTGTTTACTGGAGCCTAAACTCAACTTGTGGTGTCGCAGACTCTCAGCAGGACATTTCTGGAGTGTTTCCTTGATTGCAACAGTTGCAATAAGTTGTTCAAACAGCGCCTGTGAAGTGGAGGAGCTGGAATGGTTTGGAGGCCGTGCTGGAAGCAGAGGGAAGGGAAGGATGGAAGAAGAGAGCGGCGCCGGCTCTTGTTGCTATGGCTTCTGTTGCTATTGCTTGATGTTAGTAGTAGGTCTGACTGTCCTTATGTTTCACTTCGTGGGCTTTTACAGCACAGAAGACCATCACACTGGGGTGAATCTGTGCAGTCTTCAGTTCACACCGTGTGCTGTGGGATTCCTCCCAACCTGGAAATGGCAGAGACACCTGGGGCCTACAATAGCGAAATGGCATCTAGGTGGAAAAGCAAACAAGTTCTCTTTGTCTAAGTAAAATTTTAAATGTCTTGTGGAGGTAAAAACCCACCTTTCCCTGATCGTACGGGGGGCACCTGGAATGTCTGAGGGAAGGAGGTGCATTTTTTTTTGCAAAAGCCTAATGCTTTCCTTTAAAAGCAAAGATGGACAACTGCAGCAGTGACATGGCATGAGTAAGCCCAACTGGAATCTGCACCCACTCCCATCACCTTAATTATTCTCTTTTTAAGTCTTCCTTTTTACAAAGTCTCCAGGTATAGGTTTCTAACTTACAGGAACCTAAGATTAAAGTGTAGAGACATCAGTTTTCCTTCAGAAAATTAGAGACAATTCAATTGCTCCCTTGTCAGTTCTTGCCCTCGACAAGGCAGGACATCTCCAAGTTGCCTTATGTCCATATGAGCCCAAACTCAGAAATTTGGATGAATTTCCAGGATTTAGCTATATTATTGTCCGTTTTCCTTGTTATTCTTGCATTTGGAAGGTTAGAAGTAGGAAAGGTTGAAGGGAGGGTCCCTTTCAGCTCTTTGAAGACCTTGCAGGTGGCTGAAGGTAGTCTGTGTCTATCCCTCGTTCACCCTGGCTAATGCTGCAGGTAATTGCTTTAAACTACTTGCAAAGATGTTGATTTCATTAATAAGCAAAGCAGGCTGAGTTTATTACCGATGTGTCTAACGGCCCTGCTCGTGGGTGGCAGTAACTTCTGAGAATCGACCCACTGGGTGGGAGTGGATGGATTTGGGGTTCCCGTATGAGAGTTGTGTGTGGAGCATTGCCTCATTTTTAATCTTCCTTTGCATAATTGCAAATCCCAACGCTTCTGTGTCAGGTGGGAACGTAGTAAGGTCTTGAAGTAGTTCCTTTGGGAGGGTGTTTGACATCTCACACGATGTGCGTTTTACTAATTGGCATCTTTGAGGAGTTTGCACTATCAAAATGGAACAGAAGGGTAGAACCTACAGTCTGACAAAGGATTGCTGCTGTCTGTGGATGAATCTTTGAGATTGTGTAGTTCTGAACTGAGCTGCCAGAGGAGATGAAGGGTTATGTTGTCTTTGTAAGCAATTTGCTTTCCCAACCTGGCCGCTTCCATGCGGTTGCTTCTTTGATAACTTGGCTCGTGGAGGAATGTTCTCCAAAGGATGGTTTGTGGGCACTGGGAATGGTTCTCATCTCTTAATTTCTCCGGTTGCGTTCACTGTTTGTCAAAAGGCAAACGTAATTCAGAGCAAATTTCGTGAAGGTCTTGCCCTGAGTGGTGCCGTGAAGCGCTGTCGGAGGTAGAGCAGGTGAGGTTGCTGGTGTGAGGTGGTGGCAGGCAGCTGGGTAATCACAAACCAGTGCATTGCACGTTCCTCGTGCACTGGTTAGCTGTGGAATTACTCTGCATTTAACTTCCAGTCCCTGATACATACATATAACACAATAAATTTTTAAAGTGACATTTATTATGCATAGAAGCTTGGGTGTGGAGTAAGACACTGAGATTTATAATTCATAAATTGGTTTTTTTTTTTACATTCTTCAATAAGTTTCACTCCAAAATTGCAGGCTTGCCGTGGCCACGGGCCTGATGAGATGCTTTGTCAGCTGATGAGTTTTATTTTAGCGCTGGGAATTTGGGTGCCACGTGCTGGGTTTATGTAAGAACCAGCCCGTGGTTTGGTGAGGAGCTCCCCGGGCTGCCAAGGGCTGGGCTTTACGCAACGTCGCATCCTCACGCGCCCCGTTCTCTAATGACTATTGGCGTGATAACATGCAGGAGTACATCCCCAACATGGATAGTCTATTAATTTCAGTATTTATAGGTGATATGGCCCGTGTAAAGCTCTATTCCACAGAATGATTTAAAACAGAAGTGCTGCAAATTGCGTTATTAGTCCAGCTTTATATATATGCAGAAGATGCTTCGATCATAACTGAAAGATACATTCAAAATCAATTAATCATGTATATATATCTAGGCTGGACAGGCTGCAACTGGCAGCTGGGTCGGTGTGACCAGGAGAAAAGTGATCACTGTGCTTTTAAAGGATTCCTCTGCCTGGTTTTCTTCTGCTCTCCTGCTTCTGAGCTGCCTGACGTGATTTAAAGTCGATGTTGTGTACGTGGTCTATGCTGTTGAATTTAAATCAGCTTTGTTTTTATGATAAATAGATTAAAACCACATGAACTTTGAAGCTGAAGCTGTAGCATTCCACGGAAACCCAGATAACATTAGGTTTACTGAAGTTATTAACCACACAACAGTTGTTCTGGAGCTTTTTAAAGGTGTTTGCCACAAAATGCACGTGTTTAGTGTAAATGAACTAATGAAATTGTTTACTCTGTTTCTTGGGCTCTTCAGGGAAGTGCTTTTAAATAAAAGTCCCCACACCAAGGGGTTCAGTTCTTTTGAACTGTGTGAGCTTTCTGTATGATGTTGAAGCTAATAGGAGAAGTTAAATACAATATTTGTAGTTTTCTTAATAATAAATGATCTAACAAATAGCTAGAGAACAGGTAAGTACAAAAAAGTACCTGCGAGTGTAGAAGGAGGAATCAAACCCATTTGTCTGCCTTAACATACTGGCTACATAGGGAAAAAAATTAGTTTACTACTGCAGTAATTTTTCTCTGTTTCTTCCCTTTCCGCAGGCGTTTGATCACAGATTCCAAGGTTAAATTAAAGTACCAGCATTTAATAACCAATAGTTTTGTAGAGGTGAGTTTTTATTTGACATTTTTAATGGTTTCTAGGTTGGTTTTGTCTCGCACATGTACTCGACCGGGGAAGAGCAGGATTTTTTTTGTGTAGCCTCTACTCAAGTGTGACTACAAGTTACAGGCTTTGCAGGGGCTATTTCCTACCCTGTTTAGTTACAGATGGAGTTGTAGGAAAATACTAAAAAACATATCTGCAGGACAAAAGCCCTGTAGATAGAGCAAGCAGCTGTAGGTAAAGGGAATGCCAGAGCTGTTCAATATATATGTTCTGATGGAGCTCTTAATATTTATAGTTCTTGAATGTTACCCCAGATATTTCACATTGAAAACCAGGAAAGTTTATTGTAAACAAGAGCATGCCTTAACCATTTGCCATTTGAAGTAAAGCTGCAAAATTGCAGATTCACTGGAGAGCCCAGTATGTAAGTTGTTACTGGGATCGTGCTTTCACTCCTTGCTTGAAGTGATACAGGCAGTGGGGTTTTTTTGGTGGTTTTGCTTTTTAATGCCACACTGGAGCCGAGGGTGTGTTGCAGAGTGGAGGTCCAGCAGTGCAGACCCACGCACGGCAGGAACAGGCAATGAGGTGGTGTTCAGGGGGTGTTAGAAAGCAACACCTGTAAAATTCTCATGTGTGTGGTTTGTGAGTGGTTTCAGAAGGGCTGTTACAGCGGTGGGACGGGTAGTTGCAAACAACTTGACAGATGCTTTTTTCTCTGGAAAGCTTCAGAGCTTCGTATTCTTCAAATATTTTCTCTGGGTGAGCTGGAAGGTCAGCAGAAGTGTTTATACTCCTCATCGTTCGTTTGACAGTGAGGAGCTGACTGTCATATTCCTGCTTGATTTCAGTAGAAAGAAAGTAAATGCTCAGATTGAGGAGAGAGCTCTTTATTGCAGAGGACGGGTAAGACAGGAAGGAGGAGTGTGACGGAAGGTCACGGTTGAAAGGATGAAAAAGGGATGAGGGGCAGGTAGAGTCCTTGTGCTGCATCCTTTTGCTATTACATTTTCTATTTTTCCACATTATTTCATAGTGTAATCGACTGTTAAAATGGTGTCCTGCCCCAGATTGCCACCACGTTGTCAAAGTCCAATATCCTGATGCTAAACCTGTTCGCTGCAAATGTGGACGTCAGTTTTGGTAAGGATAATCAAGTGAAAGAAGTTGCTGCTGCTTTTTCACTTACCACTTTGAAAGTCTGTTAGTGTGTATTCTGTAAGTCTGTAATGGGGTGTGTTTCAGACGGTGGGAGAAGTATGGGGAGGGGGTGGGCTTCAAATGATAAGCCAGGATTAGGTACAGCTGGTTGTGTAGTAGTTGTTCTCTGTCTCCTGGACCTCCTTTTGACATGGAAATGGATCCAGCTTTCACTGAGGGATGGGCTTCAGCTGAGTGGTTTCAGAGGAGGCGTGGTTCTGGACTGCAGAGAATCAAAATGTATTGAGAGAAACTGCTCCTCTCCTATGAAGACAGGCTGAGAGAGTTGGGGTTGTTCAGCCTGGAGAAGAGAAGGCTCCAAGGAGACCATATAACGGACTTCCAGTACCTGAAGGGGCTCCAGGAGAGAAGGGGAAGGACTCTTTGTCAGGGAGTGTAGTGACAGGACCAAGGGTTAATGGTTCTAAATTGAAAGAAGCGAGATTTAGGTTAGATATCAGGGAGAAACTCTTTGCTGTGAGGGTGGTGAGAGCCTGGCCCAGGTTGCCCAGAGAAGCTGTGGCTGCCCCATCCCTGGAGGGGTTCAAGGCCAGGTTGGAGGAGGCTTGGAGCAACCAGGTCTGGTGGGAGGTGTCCCTGCCCAGGGCAGGGGGTTGGAACTCAGTGTTCTTTGGTGTCCCTTTCAACTCTAACCATTGTCTGATTTCAGGGTGGCAGGGGGTTGGAACTCAGTGATCTTTAATATCCTTTCCAACTCTAACCGTTCTATGACTTCAGGGGTTTTTTTGATGTGTGTAATGTTTCTGTAGGACTGGCTTTGGTCTTTCAGCAGAACTACCCAGAAGAAAGCTTCCACAGTGTTAATCGAGCTAGATAAAAGCCTAGTCGTCTACCTTTTTTGCTTATTTTTCCTTTCTTTCACTTGCAGCTTTAACTGCGGTGAAAACTGGCACGATCCTGTTAAATGCAAGGTGAGCACCTCGAAGTTCTTTTCTAAACATATGACTTCAAAAAGTTTAAAGTCAATTTATGTGCAAGACGTAGAAATGAAGCGCAGCTTTGGGGCTGTCCACATCAAGGAGCACAGAAGTTCACCTGTTTAGGTCAGAGCATGAGAAGAGTCAGTGAGATCATACTGGCTGCCTCGGAGTCGGAGGTTGTGATGGAGTAAGGTTGAGGAAGAGGAGTAAAGGTGCTTCAGGAGTGAATGCTTCACTCAACAGAAGCACCCCAGTACTAGGCTTTTCTGGGGGTGCTCGGTGCTTTGGTGGGGTTGTGGTTTGTTGTATGGAAGGAATTCCTCAGGAATTTGGGCCTGGGACCCGCAGCCATGCAGTCAGCTCTGGAACTGGGCTGGTTTTTCCTGAAGCTGTCAGAAGCTTGGGGTCCTGTGGCCTCTGCAGAGGTCGTGGACAGGCAGGTTTCCTGCCTTGGGGACAGAGCAGTCTGCCTTCCCAGTGACAAATGCAAAAAAACCCCATTGGGAAGAGGGGAGGGAAACCACCTGAGGATGCTAAACCTTTGGTGGGGAGGCCTTTCCAGGCCAGATGTGGTCAGTTTGTCTGAGAGTTGCAAGCAGTCTTTTGCTGTGGTTACTTGTGTTGATTTGATAAACCTCACCAAGAACACGGCTTTAAAAGAAAAAGAGGGAAAAAAAGGGCAAGCTGGATGGTCTGAACATGGGTGGGCATTGGAAGCGTAAGGAGAAGCTTGGCCTGATGCAAAGCTGGCCATCACAGGGTGTCCGACTGCACTTGTGGCACATCACTGCTATAATATTTGTGTTCTTTTAGACCCCTGTGTGAAATTTGTGCTGGTTGAACTTAAGAACTGCAAACTCGTTGCTGAAGTGTTAGTGCTGAGGGATGGTGCTGCGGGAATTGCCTGCAACTCCATTAGCAACCAAATTAGTTTCTATTTGCTCTGCTTTCCAGCCCCAGCACCCTTTTGTATTCCCCCGTGGTGGTGTGTTCCTTACCTTAACGTATGCAGCTGCCTTGGGAGCGTTTACACATCCTCTATTGAAATGTAACATTTCTTTCTTCCTTTTTCTAACAGTGGTTAAAGAAATGGATTAAGAAGTGTGATGATGACAGTGAAACTTCTAACTGGATTGCAGCAAACACAAAGGTGAGGGGTTTTCTTATATTATATATAGACTTATCAGATGAAAAGAAGACCGGCAGCCTAATTCCTTTGTCCTAGGACTATTCTTTCTGTTGCGTGCCATTAGTTCAGTGTGAGCCTTAAAATCCCCAGTACACTGAAGTGCTCCTATTTGAAGAGCAAATAGGTGTTACTGCCTCGCGTCCGGTGAGGTTCTTTGGGTTAAGTGGAGTTTGCTCTTGTAAGAAAGAGTTAATTGGAGACCCAGAGGAAGCTCAACTTTTTTAAGTCTCCGGGCTCCTGTCTGGCACTGGTGGCTGCCCTGAGCAAATCTGTGCCTGGCTCCAAGTGTGTGAAACATGTTACCACCCCCCGTGGCTGTGATAATTTACATCTGCCTTTAAATCCCCTGGGCTGGCCTCTCGAGGAGTTGTTCATATCCGCTGGGCAGGATTCCAGGCAGGGACTGGCAGAACAGCTGTTCGGATTTTATTATGTAAATGCCTTCCTTCCAGCAAGCCCAACTTTGCCTGAAACTTCAGGTTTGGGGATGAATTAAGACAAAGGTTGCCATAGTGGCAAGAAAACAAAAGCAGCCCATGCCGGATGCCGCCGGGGCCTCAGGAGCAGACCTGGGTCTGGGGACTGCGGAGGGTGGAAGAAGGTGGGGAGGCTGTGAGGAAACTGCTGCTTTGTTTTCTTAGCTCTCTTGTGTAACTGGTTAATGGCATTGTTTGAGACTCGCTGGGCCTGGCTGTGTGGTTTTCATTGACCTGGAATGTGGCGTTATGGTGAAAGCAGAAACACCCATCAGCCTCAAACGCGCAGTTCGAGTCGGGCTGAAATTGTGCAGTCTCGGCTGCTTCTTTTTGTTTTGTGGGCTGAGACTTGTGTGATCCCTGCTCAGAAGCTGAACGTTGCTCAATGAAGCAAATGTGGCTTTTTTTGGAGGTGGGTGTGTTCAAAAAAGATGTGTTGAGGCTCTAGAACTGAACCAGATGTCTTCAAAGTTTGCTTGATCTTCAGGTGGTGCTCCTGTGAAACCTGAGGAGGAGCGGCCAAATAGCTTGGAAAGGGCTGAGCAATGCACGTGCAATGCAGCTTTTAGCCTCGGGTATCAAATACTTGGGATGTCACAATGGCCACAGCCCTATTTTGCCTGTGACAAAGCCCTTGGGAGCCAGAGGAGGAGCTGCTGCTGCCCCCAGGAGTGGGATCTTGGTCATGGCCGTAGGGCTACCTGTCTTCTACCTGCCCCTACCCTGGCACAACTGCTGAAGACCAGGGTCTGCTCTCTCCTTGCTGGGTTTTGTTACCATCAAATGTTGAGCTCTCCTGTTCTGGATCCTGTGCCCATGAAAAAGGCTGAAATGATACACGTGCATGTGTTAATGTACCCAAACATGAGCAACGTGCCACTAACGCTGGCTGCTGGAAATTGAAAGCCATGTGTCTCTTTTTCAGGCAAAATGATGAGTTTTGCTGCAGCCTGCTTGCCTGCAGATTTAAGTGTAGAGAGAAATATTAAAGATGATCACTTATTTATTTATTTTCTACCAGAATCTGGGCTTTGTAAGGTAGGAGCCATGCTCGTGGTTGAGCTGGTGTGTAAAGCTCAGCTCAGACTGTCAGAAATAGTATTGAATGGCTGGAATAAGAATTTCTATGGGAAACACCCATCTAGAGGAGGGTGAGGTGGGGAAATGAGCATGGCTGTTGGTTCCTGTAGTCTGGTGGCAGCAGCAGAAGAGCTGTTGTCCTTCAACATCCGTGTCTAAGCTACTTCCTCTAATACTGTACGAGATGCTCCTACAGCAAGAAGATACTTTGGAGCCCAGGCTGTAGAGCAGCAACAGGAAGAGAAATAACATCAGGGTAATTACAGCAGACATTTGAGCCAACCAACTGTCCCGGAGTCTTACGGTATCCGTATCAATTGAATTAACTGAAGGACAATATCACAATTCTTCTCTCTCCCAACTGACACGTGGTTCAATTGAGGGGAAAGTTGGCAGGAACCGTAACCCGCCCCTCCTAACGATCCTCCTCTTCTTGTGGGCAGTGGAGATGAGGAAGGTGGTAATTTCACACCGCTGGAGCTGGCTGCTGGAACGCCTGCAATCGGAGCTTCCCAGCCTCCGGAGAAGCGCACGGGCCCAGAGCCGCGGGGCTGATGGCCACCACCTCCTCCTGCCTGAACGGGGCTGGCCCTTGGCCAGAGGCACAAAGAAACCCAAGGTTCCGTGTCTGACCGTGACACCCTCCTGCTGCCAGCCAGGGAGGAACCAAGTAAAATCCTTTCCTGCTGTCGCCTGAGGCTGTAGCGATGCACCGGGGTAGGAATTGCCCAGCTGGAGTTGCACCTTACTCTGTCTCTGTACAATTTCTGGCAGGAAGACAGGGCAGTTGTGTTTGAGGGATCTCATGTACCTTTATACCTATTTTCTTCACTTGACTGCAAGTCAGAACCCAGATTCTGTGTTGAATTTCTTCATTTTGATGAACTGAGAAGGGAATCGGTACCATTAAATGCAAAATAATTCCCCATTTTCACTGGAAAAAAATCCCCAGGTAATATAATCACTTCTGCAGTCTCTGTTGCTGTTCTAGCTTTTGAAAGTCCTCCAAGTTCTGGACTCCTCCAAGCGTGATGGTCAGCTGTGGTCCTGTCCCTGGTGGGCTCCATTCAGGGCAAAACACTTCCTGTCTCACCGAGATGAAGTTATAAGAGAAAAATACCAGTCCTGCTGGAATGCGGGCTTGAAATCTGGGTAATCCTTTGCGACAGGAGAATGTGAGATACATTTGTTCCAGCTTGCCATGAGCCAGAATGGGAAAGGAAAATTAGGCAATGGTTGTATCGGAGAAGTGAAATCCAGCTGAATTGGGTTCTGCTCACAAACTGGAGTGGTGGGATGCGTTTTTGGTGAGTTACATAGAATGGTCCAAATAAAAAAATGAGATTTGAGTAGTGGGTTCTGTGGTTTCCTATATAATTTATTTTGCATTCATTGATTTGCACTTAGGAGACCAGCACTAAATTCTCTGTACTAAGAGAGTGTCCTGGAGCTGATGTCTTTTACTTCAGATACTTTCACATGTGAATTCAGCTCAACTAAATTTAAACTTGAGCTAAGCTGATACAGGTTCTTTAACAAGCCTTTAATTCTCAGTTTTCTTGCAGGGAATAGTCCAAGGTTTTGCACACTTGTTTCTTTTTCAGTTACTTGGACAAACTCAGTTCATAAATAGCTCCTTGAATTAAACTTGGCAGGTTTCAGGTGTTAGTTGGTTCGTGTGGCTTTGAGAATAAAGAAACCACATAGATCAGGTGGACCTTCAGAGGAGTAAGAAATAGAAAAAACTTGGATTTGTGCATTTATTCTGGGTTCTTGAAGTGTATCAAGACTGCCTGAAAGGAGAGGGGAAGACCTGTTTCAGACCTGAGTTTCAGCGATGTTAATCTTTCTGCATCTTGGAATACAAAGGCAGAAGAACAAAGATGGTGCCGGTGCCCATCTTCACCCGAAGCACTGTTTAGTTGGGGTTTGTGGAAGCTTAATTGGTGTTAATGAAAGTTGTTCATCTGATACTAAGGGTGCCCCTGCCTTTTGGCTCCTGGCATGTCACCATCTCATTATCTTCCAGGCTAGATGGGGCTTGAATCTCTGATGTATGAAACAGGCCCCTTTTCTTCTTCCAAAAAAGCCATTGGCCATTTTTCTCCTCTTAAGTGAGATAAAATGGCATGAACCCAGTTCTCTTCCTTTGCAGGTGACTTTTTAATGTCTGAACACGTGCTCCCTCTGTTCTTTCTTGAAGTCCTGCATTTGTTGTAATGTGTGGCCGTGCCAGCAGCCTGCTACATCATGATATTTTTTAAAATTATTTTTAAAAATTATTTTAATTAATTTTTTTTGGTTTTAGGATGGGTTATAGGCGAAGGCATCACTGTGCACGTGGCTGGGAGGCTGAGTCCCGGCAAAGACCAATGTGTTTCACCTGTGAAATGTGTTTCTAATAAGCCCCTTGTTGGCAGAGCAGCAGCTGAGGTTTATGGTGCTTTATGTACACACAGCCTTTTTACAACAAAAAAAGGGATTGTTCTCCTTCGCCAGGTTTCCCTGGGCTTTTGTTTCGGCGTGCACGCACAACACTGAATTGTTTGGAGTGGGACAATGTTAATGAGGTCACTTCTGCTCCACGGCGTGACAGATAACATGCAGAATAATCTAGTGCTTTAGTAATTTGATTTGCTGGCTATTACGTTGTTGCGTAGCCGTAATTCCCAGTAAGATCTTCCTTCCCTATCCTCCTTAATCTATAAATCTCTCCCACTCGTTGCGTTGGTGGCTTGAGTAGTTGCTGCTTTTTTTTTTTTCTTTCCGCTGGTGTTCAGCTTTTCTTTTGCGTGTTCTTCTCGTGGCTTTTTCCTTATTTTTTTTAGTGATATTCAACTTTTACACAGCTTCGTGCATCTCTAACTTACTGTGTAATCTGTCTTCCTTGTGCTTTGCTTGACAGGCGCATAAAGGCTGGAGAAGGATGGCATTCCCTGTAATAACAGGGCTGTAATTAGGTTCTTTTTGTTCTCATTTGCATGGCAGGGCTGGAAGCCTTAAGCACGGTGGGGTATTGAGACACTGAGGAGCTTGGTCTTCTCCTCAAAGACAGGGGAGCAGACTTCCAGTGCTCCTAAAGGACAAGGATGGCCCCACCAGTGGGCTGGAGGTGCCCCATTGCGCCTCTCCAGCTTGGCAGGTCTGCTGGGAACTGTTTCTTCTTCCAGTTGTGGGGTTTTTCCTGAGCGGGAGCGATGGCTGCAGCAGTTTGTTGGATCAGCTGTGTCTTCAGCTCCGGCACGCCGATGTCGGGATCTCATCAGATGAGATGTGTTTGGGGGAAACTGCACAGCTTTGACCACCATCTTCTCTTGAAAGACCATCCGTTGGTGTTTGAGTGACCCGGGAGCCGTGCCGTGGTGTGATGGGGATGCACTGCTGCTCTTCATGCGTGTTATCGAAGGGGGCCCTGGCTGATACGCTAATGGAGCAGGGATAGTGATGGGATGAACCTACATTTGGGTTCTGAGGTGGTGGTGCAGGGCTGGAAGGGGGAGGAGAGCTGCCTGGAAAAGGGAAATCAGTCCTGCCTTGCATATTGCACTCAAAGGAGAGACCATTTTTGACTCTGAAATTCCCAGAACTGCATTGATTGACTGATCGGGAAGGAGCTCACCTGGTTGAGTATCCACCCTATGGACGGTCCAAGGGGACATCTTGATGATGACCCCCCTTGAGAGGGCCTGCAGGGGAGCTCCTCTGCTTTGTGTACTCTGTTTGCAGTACAGCTGCCCTGTTGGTAGGACAAATACAGGTGATGGGGAGGAGAGCCGGGCTGGAAAAATCCCCTTAAGGGCTTCCTTCCTGCTTGAGCCCGTTGGAGGAACAACCAGCCCAAAAAACCCTGAGCTAAAACAAAAACCTGGGGTGCAATAGAAAGAGTGTGGCTGTAGGTTTTGATTGACTGATCGGGAAGGAGCTCACCTGGTTGAGTATCCACCCTATGGACGGTCCAAGGGGACATCTTGATGATGACCCCCCTTGAGAGGGCCTGCAGGGGAGCTCCTCTGCTTTGTGTACTCTGTTTGCAGTACAGCTGCCCTGTTGGTAGGACAAATACAGGTGATGGGGAGGAGAGCCGGGCTGGAAAAATCCCCTTAAGGGCTTCCTTCCTGCTTGAGCCCGTTGGAGGAACAACCAGCCCAAAAAACCCTGAGCTAAAACAAAAACCTGGGCTGCAATAGAAAGAGTGTGGCTGCAGGTTTGAGATAGGTCATCCTCCCCCTCTGCTCTGCCCTGGTGAGGCCCCATCTGGAGCACTGGGTCCAGTTCTGGGCTCCCCAGTTCAAGAAGGACAGGGAACTACTGGAGAAACTCCAGCAGAGGCTATGAAGATAATGAAGGAACTGCTGGAGAAAGTCCAGCAGAGGCTATGAAGATGATGGGGGGGGGCTGGAGCTTCTCTCTGCTGAGGAAAGGCTGAGGGACCTGGGGCTGTTCAGCTGGAGAAGAGCAGACTGAAGGGGGATCTCATCGATGTTGAACAATAACTGAAGGGCGGGTGGCAAGAGGATGGGGCCAGGCTCTTCTCAGTGGTGCCCAGTGACAGGACAAGGGGCAATGGGCACCAAATGGGACAGGGTAAATTCCACCTCAACATGAGGAAAAAATTCCTTCCTGTGAGGGTGGCAGAGCCCTGGAAGAGCCTGCCCAGAGAGGGTGTGGGGTCTTCTTCTCTGGAGATATTCCAAACCCACCTGGATGTGTTCCTCTGCAGGGTACTGACAGGACATGAGGGCAGAAGTGTGACTGCAGAAAGAAACAGTCATCAAATTACTGCAATACTTCCCCAAATCAGGGGAATCTTTCCAAACCCACCTGGATGTGTTCCTGTGCAGGGTACTGACAGGACATGAGGGCAGGAGAAGTGTGACTGCAGAAGGAAACAGTCATCAAACCACTGCAATACTTCCCCAGATCTGGGGAATCTTTTTTATTTACACGACAAACCTGGTCTTTTGGTTAGAAACTGAGCTTTGTCTTCCTACTCAGGCCAAGCCCGGGGTTGTGACCTGTTGATGGGATGGGAGTGCTGCTGCTCTTGGCTGAACGGGAGGGCAGCGCTTTCCAAACAAGCCCTGTAACAACCTACAGGCTCCTTTCCGAGGAATGGCTACACCCTGGCTTAGGAGAACATTCTGCTTGTGTGGGGTGTCACCCGTTTCTGCCCTATCCTTAACCCTTCCCCTTCAGGACCAGGCAGCAGGACCAAAGCAGGACTTTGAGGAGGAAGAAATGACGGCAGGACTCGAGCGCCGTTGCTGAGGAGACCTGAATCGTGACATTATTTAGGTTGGAAGAGACCTCTGGGTGTCATCTTGTTCAGCCCTCCCCAGCTTGAGGCAAGATCACCCCAAAGTGAGGCGAAGCTGCTGTAATGAGCCTTGGTTTTCATTAATGCTCAGGTCTGCAAATTTACAATCACCAGGAAGCAAAACTAGCAGAGAACACTTTAATTATGTTGTCCAAAAAGAAGGTGCGGTCTCTCGTGTCTTTCCCCTTGTCTCTTTTTCCTTGCCTTACTGCGAGCCTCCCTCCCTTGGGAGGACAGGACAAGAAGAAACAGCCTCAAGTTGTGCCAGGGGAGGTTTAGGATGGATATTGGGAAAAATTTCTTCACCAAAAGGGTTATGAAGCGTTGGAACGGGCTGCCCAGGGCAGTGGTGGAGTTGCCATCTCTGGAGGTATTTAAAAGCTGGGCAGACGTGGTGCTGAGGGACATGGGTTAGTGGTGGCTTTGTCAGTGTTGGGTTGATGGTTGGACTCAATGATCTGAAAGGTCCCTCCCAACCTGGACAATTCTATGATTCTATTCTATGAGTCTCCTTGCAGTGGAAAGGTCCACATTGGACATCTGGAGACCACGTTGGTCTCCAGACCACATCCAGCACCTCCAGAGCTATCTTCTGGGTACTTCTTGGTGTGCAAGCTCTCCTGTCTCTTACGATACTAGTACCAAACTCATATGATAACGTAGCAATAGTTGGGACACCTGCCATACAAGAAGTTGATCTGAATGCTGGAGTAAGAGATGGTGCTCTTGATGTCTTCTCTGGGTAGCAAGGGGTAAAGACGTGCTCCTGACTGGGGATGGGCTTTTTCACGCTTCTCACCCAAAAGCTGCAGCTGGTTTTACCCAAGTGGGGTTACTTGTTTTGATACGTGTATTTATTGCCTTGTAGATAAAATTGGCTTTTGCAAAAAATAAATGCTGGTGTGTCTGTGTGAGCTGGATCGAGGAACTCATCCTGGCTAAAATACTTTTTGGGTTTATTTTGGGGTGGTTTGTTTTTGGTTTTTTTCCCAACTCTTGTGCAGCTGCTTTGTGTCCCAGCACAGGGACAAGTGGCAGAAGAGAGTTGGGACCGACTTCCTTTGCTCGTAGGGACAGCGTAGTGTATTCTTGCAACCTCGGCTTTGTGGCATCATTGAGATACTACAGAAATAGTCTTTTATGCTCTGCACGAGCTGAATATCATCTTAGGAAGTGGCCATATGCTGCTGACGTACGAGAATGATATCGGTGTTATAAAAAACCACAGCCCTGTTCCCTACAGATTTTCCCTGCGCAGGGATGCTCTTCGATAGCCTCGGGTTTGTCAAAGGCCTCACGCCTGGAAGGGAAGCCCCACGTGGGGTTTGGTAGAGAAGTCTTCACTCAGGTGTCGCATGAAGGGGGAAAAAAAGGGGCCCGATGGGAAATGTGGAAATGCCCCAGGAATAGAAGAGTCTTTTTAGCTAATAGAAGCTTTTTTTTTGAAGCGTGAGAGTCTTACTGCGTATTTTCAGCTGCTTTTTGGATGGTGTTTTACAGCTGCAGGTGTCTGGTGTGGATGACAGCGTGATGCCCGCTCTCCGTCAGGCTCTTCTCACTTCCAAGTGGGCCAAAGGCTTGATGGTGGGGAGGAAAGGCAGATGCCTTCCCCGGGGCATTTATAGATCATCACTACTGCTGGGATGTTGGAGAAGGTCATGGAATTGACCCATCCCGTGTCCCGCTGTGATAGCAGCATAGATAAAACGCCGTGTTCCATGGTGGCTTTTGCAGTTTAGCTGCTCCGATTTTGGAAATATTTTAAAGGAAGTTGACCTTGCTGATCGTAGGGAAGAAGTAAATGGTGCGTTTCACTTGCTGTGAGATCTCTTACTGCCACGGGGACCCCTCTAACCTCACGAGGCTGCTGTGGGTGCTGTGCTTTCCCCGCTAACGGTGCTCTCTCTCTCTCTCTCTCTCTCCCGGGACCAGGAATGCCCCAAATGCCACGTCACCATCGAGAAGGACGGGGGCTGCAACCACATGGTCTGTCGGAACCAGAACTGCAAAGCAGAGTTCTGCTGGGTCTGTCTGGGCCCCTGGGAGCCCCACGGATCTGCCTGGTGAGTTGGGGAGCGTGCCTGGCGGGAAGGCGAGGGAGCTGTGATGCACAGGGCATCGATAGCACCAGCAGTAATTCCTAAGACCTTTATTTTCTTCATTATTCTTGGCTCACCACTATCTTTCACCTATTGCCAGCAGCCTTCCTGGGCACTGGAGGATGTTTAGGAGTTTGAAGCGCAATCCTGAATTACTGCTGTGACCTCTGACATATGGGATTTAGCTTCACAGACAGCTTTGCTGATGAGTGTTCCTGGTCCTTGGGTGTGCTCTGCTGCGCTCCCCCTGAAGACCACGAGGGTTTAAGGATGAGCCAGATGACGGCTGATGCAGGAAGAGGGCAAGACCCAACCTTTTCAGTGGTGGCCCTGGCCTGGATGGGTTAAAACAGATCATGATGCCTCATCATCAGTAATGATGGATCTATTTCCCTGTGGTTTGGGGTTTTTGGTTTTTTGTGTTTTTTTTTTGTTGTTGTTGTTGTTGGGTTTTTTTGGTTTTTTTGTGGTTGGACTCGATGATCTCAGAGGTCCCTTCCAACCACTAAGATTCTGTGATTCTGTGATTTGGACTCAAATCTGTGGAATTGGTGTCCCCGTTACAGGTACAACTGTAATCGCTACAACGAGGATGATGCAAAGGCAGCAAGGGATGCACAGGAGGTGAGTCCATAACCTTTGGAGATAGGGGAGATCACCAACCCTGGGTCGCTGCTCTCAGGCTTTCTGTAAACATAAAAATCAGCTCTGAAGAATTCCCTGGATTTGGGCACAAATCCAGAAGAGGGTTAAGCTCCCCCACAGCTTTGGGGTCTTGCTTTGTGCTGGAAAAAAACCCAACAAACCACACATTCAAAGCCACTTTAACCCAATTTAATGAACACGTTAACTCAGTTGTTACCTATCACACTGCCTTGTCTGTTTTGTAGCAGCTCTTCACATGAAGTCATCGTAATGCTGTGGGTCTGAGACAACAATCCTCACATCCTTCATAAAAGGCTAAATTCTTCATGCCAATCCCGAGGTGTTAAACACAGCAGACCTTTTGAACGTAAATAGAATAGACTTCAGTTGTTCCCATAACTGAACTTGAAGGTTTGGTAAAGAAGAAATTAAGCCATTTTGTGAATGTGGATAGAGCCAACCCCCTTTTAACGGGGAGGGATTGCACGCTGGGTGCTGCAGCGTGCAGAAATCCATTTCCTGCCTCTGTGTCAAAGCACCGTTCAGCCAAGAACCCGCGTGTTTCCTGCAGCCCCTCCTCCTGCAGATAAGGGTGGCTCTGGCTGATACGTGCTACCTTTGTACATCCACAACGTACAAGTTTTACCATGCCCACGTTGTCATTTTTTTTTTACAGCTGAGTTGTCAGTGAGAAGAAAATAAGATTAATGGCTGTGTTTTGAGTCATCTTGGTTCTCTTGTACTACTGAGCACGTGGCGTCTTTCCCCTGCTCTGTCATCAGTGTGGCCTAGGCAACCTGAGCTTGCCCTCTTAACACAGGAATTGTCTAATTAGAAATCCTTATTAGATTAAAAAAAAAAATATAAATCTGCTTCTCACTATTTGTGGTGACACTGGAAGCATTTAAGTCCTGTAACTTGGATGGAGGGGCTGAGATTCAAAACTCATATCATAGAATCATAGAATCATCATCATACTCGTTGTCCTGTAGCAATGTGATCCTAATTACTGCCCGGGCTGGGAGTGAGGATGCTGTGGCTGAGCTGGGAAGTGCCCCGGGTGACAACGAGCTGCCGTGGGCCTGGCCTTTCCTCTCCACCCAACGTCAGGGGTCACGATGCCGCGTAAAGCGGCGCCGTCTAAGTCTGGCCAACGTGAGAGGAGAGGAAGCACCTTGGGAAAGGAAGCTCCTTCTCGGGGTCAGGAAGAGCCTCGTGAAGGGGCGGCCAATACTTTGTTTTAACGATTTGTTTTCTTTTTCCCCTAATGGGAATTAACACAGCGATCCAGAGCAGCCCTGCAGAGGTACCTGTTCTACTGCAACCGCTACATGAACCACATGCAGAGCCTGCGCTTTGAGCACAAGCTCTACGCTCAGGTGAAGCAGAAAATGGAGGAGATGCAGCAGCACAACATGTCGTGGATCGAGGTGCAGTTCCTGAAGAAAGCAGTCGACGTCCTCTGCCAGTGTCGTGCCACACTCATGTACACTTACGTCTTTGCCTTCTACCTCAAAAAGAATAATCAGTCCATTATCTTTGAGGTAGGAGAAAGCACGGTTGTCAGGAGCTCAGATGATAAAGTTGGGTGAAGCAGGGATTTGTTGCTGGGAGAAGCTGTTGTCTTTAGTTGTACAGAAGTGAGTCTGTCCTGACATTCTGTCGTGCAGGAGTTGGAGGCTGTGCCGGGTATCGTGTAGGATTCTGTGCTGGAGGAGGAAGCAGAGTTCCCAGTTACTCCCCTCTGGAACAAGGGAAGGGGTTGAGGTTCTGTATTAATGCCTCCTCTGCCACTTCAGTGCTTAAACCTGGCATTTTGCCTTGCCCTGCTGTTGGCTTTTTTCCAAGGGCACTACCTGCAAAATTGCACTTGAAACGTGGAGGTCCGATCTGCTTCGTAGCTGAAAACTGTTTGGGCTGTTTATGATTTAAAGCAGCCCTTTGCTGATGTCTGTGCAGAACCAAAGCAGGATGCTCCGTGCCGCACGCTCAGCAAAGGGCATGGTGAGTGCTGGTGAAAGCTGTGGTGCTGCTGCACGTGCACCAGGAGTCACTACAGGCTGGTAAAAACAGAAATAGACAAGGGACAGAATGGGGTGTTAATTGTTTTGTGAGGAAAGGATTTTTTTGGGCTTGCCAGGATACTGCAGATCGATGGAAGACACAAAACAGGCAGATTTTCTTCTGATCAAATGAGGAAGCTTCATCTTTTTCAATCTTGGTGCTCAGAGCAGGTCACTGATGTTACTCAGTGCATATCTAATCCTGCTTTGTATTTCCGTATTGATATAACTTGGATGGAAGGAAAAAAAAAAGACTTTATTTCCTCCCAGAAAACCCTCTTTTCTCTTTCTTTTTTTGTTTTTATTTTTTGTCTCTGCAGAATAACCAAGCAGACTTAGAGAATGCTACAGAGGTGCTTTCTGGGTACCTTGAGCGAGATATATCCCAAGATTCGCTGCAAGACATAAAGCAGAAAGTACAGGATAAGTACAGGTTTGTTGTTTGGTTTTTTTTTGTTTTGTTTTCCTAATAATCCTCTGTCTCAAAGTCCCTGTACCGCCATCCTGTGGGGCAGGTGGTGGCACGTGTCCTTGCCAAGCTAGGGTTTTCTCCAGAGTTTCCCCTCCCATCCCTGGGAAGCTGTTTGCTCTTGGCCTGCTGCCACGCATTGTGCTCATCAGCTGGTCCCTGGGTATCCCAGAAGAGCAGCAGCGGTGGCCCCCTCCAGCCCCTGAAGTCCCAGGCCTGGTGAAGGCCTGGCCCAGATGCTGGCAGCATGTTTTTGTGCCCCTCGCTGGGACCGGCTCTCGAGGGAGGTCACAGTTCTGGGGAGATGTTCCCAGCTCTGCCTGGCGTCTGCTCTGCTCAACAGTAGCTGGAACATTCAGTCCCAGAGTGGAAAAATATTGTCACCAAAAGCAATGGCTTTTCATACGCTGCACAGAAGGAGCATGTGGGAATGGCCAGGACCAAGAGAGGGACCTACATGGTGAGGGACTTCACTGTTCCCAGCTGAGAGCTTTGGCCTAGGATGAGTTGCCATAAGAGCAATCGGCTCTTTTATTTATGTGTTGGGCCCATTTGTGCAAAACGTGAGCGTAGAAGAACCATCTGAAAAAGGAGGGGAGAGAGTGACCTGCCCACCTGGGGAAGAGACCGCAGAAACCTGGGTCCAGGTGACACCAACGCCGGTGCTTTTCACAGTCCCAGGGGAATCACTTCTGCACAGTGGAAAAATACAAAGCTGTAAATGCGGATGAGTCACAGGATTATGGCTTGCAATTTGGAGGCATTTTGCCAAAGGCACTGAATTTGTTATGCCTAACTTGGGGGGAAAGAAGCCAAAGTGGGGTGAGCTGTAGTGACTAAGGGACTCCGGGGAGGGGAGGTGGCTGTTAGGCTGTGGTGGGCCTGTGTCCTGTGGGACTGGGAAAGCCCATCAGACCTTCTCTTTTGAGACAGTTTTATAATTTACCCTTTAAGACCACTATTAGGTTGGTATCAGCTCGAGCTGCTTATTCCCTTAAGTCCTCTGAAACTGGATGCTCTTCTAGGAGTGATATCAGCTCTCCAGAAGAAATTAAAACCTAATATAGCCGGAATTGCCCGAAAACACAGTATCCCAAACCCGCCTTTGTGTTTCTGGGAAGAAAGTATGCATCTGTCAAGCCCACGCAGGTCCCTAATTAACTAGTTCAGTCATGTCTTAATCATGTCCTGCCCAGTGCTCTTTGTGTACTGACGTGAGAGCAGGACCAAGGATGTTACCCAGGTGGGTTTAAAGAGCTCTGGGAAATCGCAGGGGCTGACCTCGTAGCTGGTTTTCCATCTCTGAGATTGCAAAGACATTTCTAGAAAACAGGATTAAACCCAGCAACAAAATAACTGAAGTTGGGAAAAGCAGAGCCGGTGCTGTCACATGCTGCAGAAGCTCAATGGGACTCTGTGTAGCACGGCTGCTGTGGCACCAGCTGATGGCCACGGGAGGAGCCACAAGAGTTTTATTTGGATCAATCTGTGGATCTGAATGGTCCCAGCATAAGGGCTGTGGGCAAAGGGAAGGAATTTCTGCCAGGGTCTTCTGCTGGGGGGGTGGGTGGGTTCCTCCTGTGCTCCTGGCTTCAGCGAGCAGAGGGGTGTCTGGATGCTGCTGAGCTGCCCCTCAGACACCGTCCTGGCCGATGTCCTCACAGTTCCCAGCTGGGACCAGTAACTCAGCTCCTGGGTTCCAGTTCCAAACCCTGAATGGGGTGTAGCACGCCTGTGCCCGGGGCCTTGGGAGCTGCTGCTGAGGCTTGGCTTGTCCCCCGCCTGCCCGACGATGATGGCATCGCCGCTGGAAGGGTTTGAATCCAGAACCGCCTGCTGCTTATTCATAATCTGCTCTTGAAACCTGAATACTTTCAACGTTTCTCTGCTTTTTATCTTTTTAGTTGGCTAACGCGCCCAAAACCAACATGGCATCCTTTTTGATATGTTCCTATGATATCCCTTTTCCTCACTATCATTGCTCCTGGTAGGACTGTGCCTAACGCCGGGATCAGTTTTGATTTGCAGATTGCTTTAGCTAAGCATAGGTGGGAAGAGCCTGTGGGGCACAGTGCCCCCCTGAGACCCCGGTAACGCTTGCCCTCCAGCCAGATCCATAAGCCTTTTTGCAGCCAGTTTCATAGAATCATAGGATTTCCCAGGCCGGAAGGGACCTCCAAAGGCCATCTAGTCCGACCCCCCCGCAGTCAGCAGGGACACCCCCAACTAGACCAGGTTGCCCAGGGCCTCGTCGAGCCTCTCCTTGAATATCTCCAGGGAAGGGGCCTCAACCACCTCCCTGGGCAACCTGTTCCAGTGCTCCACCACCCTCACAGTGAAGAACCCTCTCCTCATCTCCAGTCTAAATCTGCTCCCCTCCAGCTTGAAGCCATTGCCCCTCGTCCTGTCCCTGCAGGCCTTTCTAAACAGGCTCTCCCCAGCCTTCCTGTAGGCTCCCTTCAGGTACTGGAAGGCTGCTATTAGGGCTCCCCGGAGCCTCCTCTTCTCCAGGCTGAACAACCCCAGCTCCCTCAGCCTGTCCTCGTAGCAGAGGGGCTCCATCCCCCTGATCATCCTTGTGGCCCTCCTCTGGACCCTCTCCATCAGGTCCATGTCCTTCTTATACTGAGGGCTCCAGACCTGCACACAATACTCCAGGTGAGGTCTCACCAGAGCAGAGTAAAGTGGCAGAATCCCCTCTCTGGACCTGCTGGCAACGCTTCTTTTGATGCAGCCCAGGATGGGATTGACCTTCTGGGCTGCAGCTGCCCACTGCCTGCTCATGTCCAGCTTCTCATCCACCAGCACCCCCAAGTCCCTTTCTTCAGGGCTGCTTTCCAATACCTCACCCCCCAGTTTGTATTGGTGGCGAGGATTGTTCCGGCCCAGGTGCAGAACCTTGCATTTGCTCTTGTTGAACCTCATGAGGTTCACCTGGGCCCACCTCTCCAGCCTGTCCAGGTCCTTTTGGATGACATCCCGTCCCTCTGGTGTATCGACAACACCACACAGCTTGGTATCGTCCGCAAACTTGCTGATGGTGCCTTTAATTTCCCTGTCTATATCATTGATAAAAATGTTAAACAGCACCGTCCCCAGCACAGACCCTTGACCACGGACCCAGTTTGACCACTTCCACCTCCACTGGGACTTGAGAAGGGAGTAAAAGGGGTTTCCCAGCTAGCTCCTGGATTTTGGGGTCCCGGTTGGCCATTCCAGTGTCCCCCCTAACCCCTGCTCTGGCTTTTTGCAACCTGTGGCTGCCGTTTCTTCCTTTTTCAGTTACTCTTGGAGGTTTCTCAGCTGGAGGGGCTTTGGGGATACTTTTGCATGGAGAACTCTCAATCTGCATGCTGGTTTTTTCAGCCGGGAGTTGAGTGACTGGAGTTAACTGAAGTCTTAATTAGCGCCGTTAACGGGCTACAAATAGGCAGTCCTTTCTCAGGGGAAATCTCCTCTTTGGGAAGCCAGGCTTGATTTTTTTTTTTTTTTTTTTTTTTTTTTTTTTTTAAGTTTTTCTCATAGAAATGAAAGGCTGAAAAATATTCATTCTGGTTTTTTTTTTTTTTTTTTTTTTGCATTATTTTGAAGTTTTCCATGGTTCCTAACCTGCCTTTTCCCCTCCTCTTCCTCTTTGCCGCAGATACTGCGAGAGCCGACGAAGGGTTTTGTTGCAGCACGTGCATGAAGGCTACGAGAAGGACCTGTGGGAGTACATCGAGGACTGAGACTGGCCCCCGCAGAAAAAAAAAAACAAAAAACAAAAACAAAACCACAAAACAAAAAACGAACTCTTGAAACCTTTTACCATCTTAGAGTGCTCATGCGATTCAAATAAAACACACCCCAAGGCGCTACTCCGCCTCTTACACCGCTGGTCTGTAGTACTGGGATTCTGTTTTGTTAACAGAAAAATTTAAGTAAATTATATTGTAATAATAATTAAAAAAAAAAAAAAGGTAGATAAACCATTGTACAACAGTATTCTAGGCGGCCAATAAGAGTGTGCAGATGCACTAAAAAAAAAAAAAAAAAAACCAACAAAAAAACCCTCCAACTTTAACTTGTAACGTAGCTTCATTCTCCAAGCCAACTCCTTTTTCTTTTCTATCTTTCTTTTCCTGTGTGTAGTACAGATGAGATTTAAACCAGTTTCTTGACACTGCTTTTCATGTCCAAACCAGCCATTTTGATGTACTTTGGTAATGGTTGAGGGGGGGGTGGGGAGGGGATGGCTCTCCTGCCCCCTTCCTCCTCCTCCTCTTCCTCCTCCTCCTCCTCCTCCTCCTCTCGGCCACCCTGAGTACAGGGATGAATGTCGATTTGGCTCGTTGTAAAGATGATTCTTGGGGAGGGGAGGAGGGGGGGGACACAGCAAGGAAAAAAAAATAATAAATAAAAACAAAAACCTTTGTATATGACTTTTAAAACAAAAAGAGGACAACACAGTATTTTTCAAAGTTGTATATAGCGCATATGCATGGACAAAGAGCAAGCGTGGCACGTGTTTGCATAATGTTTAATTACAAAAAAAAAATATTTATTCTTTAAAAATCTTCAAGATTATGTCTATTTGCTGTGCAGTTTCTTTCAGTTTGGTTATTTTGTTTTGGTTTGTTTTTCCCTGGGCTGGGGTGGGGGAAGCGTGTACTGGTGTAGTGAATATATTATTATCTTTCTTTCTTTTTTGGTTTTTGGTTTTGGAAGGCTTTTAACCGGAGAAGTTGGGGTTTTTTTTTTTCCTCTTCCTGCAGTTCCTTTATGTCCAGCCTCCACAGGTTTTTGTGCGTATCCCTTGCTGGTGCAGGACAGTCCCCCCACTGGCCCCTGCGTTGGTGCCTGATGTTTCACTGCCCTTCAGCATCTTTTGCCTTTTTTCTTATTTTTTTGGCCTTGGATTGCTCCCTGCCCAAATCCAACCTGGCTCTTCCCACCCACGCACGTGGGACACGCGCTCTCAACCCAGAGGAGGGGGTCTCTGTGTGTGTGTGTGTGTGTGTGTGTGTGTGTGTGTGTGTGTGTGTGTGGCTGTTCCCAGTTTTATTTTTTAAGTTCCCAGGCAGGAAACGGAGGGGTATTTCGCACCACTTCTCACAAGACTTGCAGAAAGATTTCAGCTGTGGATCTCCTCTCCCTCCCCCCTTTCATCTGTCAAACGGACCGTTCCTTGCTGTTTTAAGTTTCACTTACATTATAACGAGTCGTAACATTGAAAAGGAAAGATGATGGAATTGTCTTTGTGTTTGTTTTGGGCTCAATTACTGGGCGTACTGTCCTGGCAAGTATTTAACACTCCATCTAGTGCAGTAGAAGTTGAAATCAGCGGGGTATTTTTCAATTAAAAGGGGAAAGAACTAATGAGTTAGCTGCTGAGTCCATTTTTATGATTTCTGTAACAAGAGCTATGTTAAAGTAAACAATTGGTGGTGGTTTTATTAAATTTACTCCTGTATAGGAATTCCTTCTGAGTTATTTTTCGCCAGGCTAGTGTTCTCAAAGCTCTCTACCCATCTGCCAGCTCCAGGGGGGGAAGAAATTTGCCAAGGGGCAAGTTAAAAAAGGCAGATCACAGGCAGGTCTGTAAAGTGAAATGCCCTTTCCAGCTGGCACTTGAGCTACATCGGCTCCCTCCCTCATAAATACCGGTGCCTCCAGGGCTGTAGTTTTGTCCCTCACTACCTGCTTTCCATGTCAGCCCCCTCCCAGCAGGGCTGGGGATCAGATGTGAGCATTTCTGCACCGCAACTGCTTTCTCTGTGGTCCTGGGTGGGATGGAGCAGGGGGTTGGCCTTTTCTTGGTGTCCACCTGCAGGCGGGGGCTCCTTGGGCTTCCTGTCAGCTTACAAAACCTCCCCATCCATCCATCCAAATGCTTTGGAAAGCTGTGCACTCTTGGGGAGCGTGGTGGGCTGGGCCGGTGGGTGCATGGAGTCTACCAGGCGTTGGGTTTTCGCTCTGCCTTTCTCCTGCTGGCTCTCCAGAGGAAACCTGGCTCCGTGGGGTCTCCCATCTCAGAGGAAACCTGCTCCGTGGGGTCTCCCACCTCCAGAGGAAACCTTGCTCCGTGGGGTCTCCCATCTCAGAGGAAACCCGCTCCGTGGGGTCTCCCATCTTGACGGCTGTTGGCGAAAGCCTCAGGTAACAAGGATTAAAGCGCCCTCTCCTCCAGCCCACAGGAAGTACCCGCTGCAAGGACACTGTCCCCACTCCGCAGGTGGCTTTACAGCTCCTCTGTGGAAAATACAAAGGAGAACCCCCCTCTCCTCACCCCTCCCTCCCGCCCCCCTGCCCGCAGCTGCCTGAGGCCTTCAGGGGAGCCCGGCCGGGCTGGGGCCGGGGCCGCCCCATTCACAGCCTTGTTCCGTCTCACACCGCGGGGGAACGGCGGCAACCCCTTCCGAATAAACTTATATTTGATTATTTCCTCAGTTACTTCGGTCTTTTCCGTGGGGAAGGGGCCGGGGCTGACCCCGCGCGGGGGAGGTCCCGCCGCC